ACTTGGCTGACAACCTTCTCTCTGCTTATCCAGCTAGAACCACCCTATCAATTTGGTCTTTGGCTTTCAGGTTAACAAGAGCCAAACAGAAAACGTTCCCGTCTCCAGTGGCGAGTCTGCCTCTCCAAGTCCAGTCAAGCCAGGCTGATTTTTCTGTCATCACCTGCCTCTGGCTCAGAAACCAGTTTACTGAGACTGCCATAGATGGCTGATTTAGTTTGCACATTCCTTTGACAAGACTATTACCATGGAGCCAGCTCAGTCCCAAGGAGACTCCACTTACTACACCCCACACCTCCCCCAAAAAAGAGAAAACTCACATGTTGATCATTTGACATCCAAAAATTACATGTGTGAGCCCTCAACAAATGGATAGCAGGTACCAGCTTCCTGCATACTTCTTGATGAGTCCAGCTCAGCAATGAATTGAATGAGAGCATTGCCATCATCTACCTGCCCACAACTGCCTATGAATGATGGTTTCAATTTCTTATGGAAGATCACCTATGCCAGAAGTGGATCATCATTCATGCAATAATTGGGCAATAATTAAACTGTCCTTTCTCCCCCACATCCGAGCCGTGACCAGAACTGCCTACCACCACCTCCGCAACATTGCCAGATTCCGCCACTGCCTTACCCCTAAGGCTGCCGAAACCCTTACTCACACATTTGTCACATCAAGGCTCGATTATGGAAACTCCCTCCTCATTGGCCTTCCCAACTCTTCCCTTCACCAGGCTCCGCAACTCCATCACTCCCATCCTCGCCCGACTCCACTGGCTCCCCATCCCTCAGAGGATCGAATTCAAGATCTTCGTCCTCACTTTCAAGGCTATCCATGGCCTTGCCCCCTCCTCCTCTCTGACCTGCTGACTCCCTACTAACCTACCTGCTCCCTCCGTTCAGCGGCCTCCAATCTGCTCCATGTCTCCCGCCCTACCATCGGTGGACGGGTTTTCAGCCTCTCTACCCCCACACTCTGGAACACACAGTCCCTTTGCCTCGCTTCCTCCCTTGCCTCCTTCAAGGCCGGTCTCAAGAACCTTCTCTTCAATCGTGCCTTCAGTCGTCCTCCCACCTCTACCTTCCCTCACCCCTACCCCACCCCTCCCCTATGCTCGGGTCCCGACCCCTAACTGTCCAGTGCCTTGAGATGTCCTCCCGACGTGAGAGGCGCTCTATAAATGTAATTTGTTGTTGTTTGCTGTTGTTATCAAGACTTGGGGTCAACTCTACATGGGTTTGTGAGGCAGTGGAGAAACCCACCCAGACAGGCCTTTATGGACAGTCAATTCTAGAAATGTAGTTCAGTCTTTCAAAGAGGAAAATATTTCCACGAACACATTAGCCCATTTCATGCATTTTGTATATGAGAGTAGGGCAAGTTATCCTCCCCACTTCCCCTTAAGGGATCTGTTGTGTTACAAGGTTATGCTATAATAAAAGAAACTGCTTGTGTAAAACAGCTAACCTATTCATTGATCTTAGAATAGCTCAATATTGTTACCAGATAAAATACAGCAAGACCGGTATGATAAAGCTAGGGTTACCATCTGGCTTTGCTTTAACTGGCCTGACCATTTTTTGTACTAACGTGCCAGTTACAGGAGAAAAATTTTAATGTGCCTTTTTACAGGTTGGAACAAATCACTCTTTCATTGAAACGAGCCGATGTGAATCTTGTTGCTGCAAGTTGGGGGAAGGGAGAATGTAGGGAAGAGGATATTCTTAGCCAACAACTTCCTGTTTCTCCATATGTGCACATAAGCAAGTAATTAAAGCCAGTTTCTTCTATGTAAGAAAATTACAAAGACTTGTGTGTCCTTCCCTACTCTTGAGGAGTGCAACAATAAACAGATGTGTGTGCACCATCATAGAGCAGCAAATCTATCATTCATAGTATTTCCAAATCAGTTAACAACTAGCTCCACTAAACAGAAAACCTATACAAATACACTTTAAAAACAGTTTTATTGGGTACGTGAAAATTTGTGCTACAAATTCATATTGAAAGATTCTATGTAGAAGGTGCAGGCACGAATGGAAAAATTGCCATCCCTCATGTATTCTTTCCTTTAAAATTCACAAACTGGCATAAGCACAAACACACACATTCAAAGAGATCAAGCGATTGTTTCATGTGATTCCTTAAGAACTACAGCTGCAAACTCCGTCCCATTTGTGTGGAGTTCTACAAGGCGGCATTTTACACTTCCATTATCAGAAGAAATTCTCTTTTGCAACTTGGGAGTTAAGGAATCCCAATAAACGGCTGCTGTTTGGACCACAATGTCAGTAAAATCATCTCCTTAAGCTATTTAGTTGCCACATACTCTGGTGGCTGAGGAAAGCAAGTGGGAATCTGCCTCAATCTTTATGCAGTCAAATTTGCATAATGTTTATTATTAATAATAATTAACATCATGTTAATTCTTATTATTTTAAGTCACCTGTTGTTATATAATCCACATAATGTTATACTGGTGGCCAGACCTGACTGTGCTGGGTACGTTTTTCTACATTTTATACATTTGAGTCCACGTATTGTTTTTGCTATAATGTTATAATTTGTCTAATGTTATGCAAATTTGCAGTTCTTACCAACAAAAGATCGAACAATGTTTTCCTTGTAGTATTTTGGATTTGTTTAAAACAACAAGTGAAATTGAAGTAAAATATTTGATTTTTAAAAAAATTATTCTTATCCTTGAAATTCTATATTTGATATAGTATATTGATAATGCATATCAAATATACATTTGATATAGCGCCTCAACACATCTTCGAGACGTCTCAAAGCACTTCACAGAATACGCTGTAAAGTGAATTGACTGTATATTTTGCGGGTGAAATGAGGCAGTCAATTGCGCACAGCAGTGTCCCACAAACGGTCGTGGATTGAAGTGACCAATTTATTATTGTTTTTGAAGGAATTATCCCTGCTTTCAAATCCACCAATCGACTAAAAACCAGGTTCCTACCTACTGCTAGGTAAACAGGGGCGTGTGGAGTAAGGAAACTTGCCCAACCTTTCGCCCTGCCGGGAATCAAACCCAGGTCTCTTGCTTGCGAGGCAAGAACTCTAACCACTGAGCTATAGGACTCCACATAACACTGTGAAAGTGTTCACAAGTGTTTATAACAGAAGTTCTTTTATTGTTATAGTATATACAATGTTATAATTCTGTCTAGTCCAAGAGTATATTAAGCAGACTCGACTAACAGTTTCACTGGATCAATCTTCCTGTGTTGGTCTAATCACATTTCTAAAGTAGAACACATTCAAGTCAAACCCATTCTCCGTATATCTTAATATAGATAACACCAACTCACTGCTCTTTAGCAGCAACATTAACATAATCTCAATAGATTACAAAAACATCAAACAATTTCAATAGTGTGTAAATAGATATTTCTACCTTCCATGCTAAAATATATTTAATGCTGCACCAGTGTACATTGAATATACTACAGTTCTACTGGCCACTCTCAGGACACCCAATTACTATTGGTTTAAGTCAGTATCTGGTATAGCAGGGTTGAAATGTTCCCAAGGCTAGGAATAAAATAATTATCCTTACATTTGATATAGCACCTTTTCAAATGGGGAGAACATCCCAAAACACTTCACAAGTTATACTGTAAAGTGCAGAGACTGTTTTTTTTGCGAGGAAGGGCAGTTCCCAATCATCATTCACAAAAACAAACAATCATAAATCTTCATAGGTCATGGGCAAAACCAGTTGTCCTGAAGTGGACGGTGGGAGGAGAAGGCAAAGAGAAAAAGTGCTTGTTTTCAATCTTGTCACTGAAGAGATGGTTTTAAAGGTAGATTTTAATTGTATTTTCTCCCCAGTCAATAAATTACATTCAATTAAAAAAAACTAACTTTTTAAAATACAATTGTTGACTTACAAGGACAGAATAGACTTGAGTAGACTAGGCCTATATTCTCTAGAGGCATTCTTATCGAAACCTATAAATTTTTAGGGTCTTGAAAGGGTAGATAGTGTGAGACGGTTTCGCTTGGTTGGAGAATCTAAAACTAGGGGTCATAATCTCAGGATTAAAGATCAGCCCTTTAGAACTGAGCAGAGAAAATACTTCTTCACTCAAAGGGTAGTGAATTTATGGAATTCTCTTCCCCAGAAGGCTGTGGATGCTCAATCATTGAACATATTCAAGACTGAGATCGATAGATGTTTAAAAACTAAAGGGATTAAGGGATATGGGGATAGGGCGGGTAAATGGAATTAGGTTAGAAGATCAGCCATGATTTTATTAAATGGCGGGGCAGGCTTGAGGGGCCGAATGGCCTACTCCTGCGCCTATTTCTTATAATTTTATACCTGTTGGATTTTCATAACAATTGGAGCAGAATACAATTTGCAAACCTTGGTCTACCTCATTTTGTGTAGTGAGGCTTCCATATAAATTCTATCAAAATTGGTAAACTATCTAAATCTCACAAATCTAAAGAACTCGTTATGCTGGTATATATGTGAGATGGTTAGGAAGGATGTAGACTTCATTGTGCTTCAACACAAATTAACCATGAAATTGTACATCAAATGTACAATGTTCTGACGAAGGGTCTTGGACCCGAAACGTTGAACCACTTTTCTTTCTCCATAGATGCTGCCTGACCTGCTGAGTGTTTCCAGCGACTTCTGTTTTTATTACAATGTCTTTGTTCAAACTGCACCTAGAATACCAAGTACAGTTCTTGTCATTCCAACAAAAGGCTTAAAGGCATTGGAGAAGAGAGCAATTAGGCTGAACCCCAGTGTTAGCTTGCACATGTAAGTTATTAGGAATGAAACAAATAGTTCATTTTTAATATTCATAAGCCTTTATCCCTTAAACCATCAGGGATCATTTCTGTAGATCTGATAGTCCATAAGGAGAATGAGTAAAAGTATTTAAGGTCAGCTACACATAAATAAATGTACAACCAATGCTAAGGAAAGCCTTTACAAAAATACACCAGGTCAGGTCAGTTAATGGGCCACTGGTCTAATGCAGTTTAATTAACAGTATTTGCATGTGATACATTTCATTAAAAGTACTTTGAAAATTGCCAAAACTAATAATCTATCAACACAATAAAGACATGACACACAAGTCAATATCCATGATCATACAGTATTCCTTGCAATTTTACCTACTTACTGCTTTTCTCAACAGCTTCATAGTGCAAGTCAGTATCCCTTTTTAGTCCAAAAGTTCAACCTAAAAAAAATCTGTACATGACTGATGTTAGCAAACCCATATTTAATAAGTTGAATAAGGCAATTTTAAGGGATTTAAAAAACAAACAAAATTAAGTACATTACAAAACATAGATGGCATTAAATACTTTTAAAAATTCATCCAAAAATTAGGCCGGATTAAGTAGAATCTTGTGCGTATAAACCGTAGAAAGACCATGGTGCATTGGTGGCATTGAAGGTAAAGTGCTGCATGGTGTCCTATCAGGCAGGCTGCTGCTTCTCGAGCCTGCAAAAAATAAAGATGTATTTAACACCTAGTCTGAGACAGATTTGTAAACACTACAGGAATAAAGCTCTAGGATTTAAAAAATGATTTTTAAATAGTAAAACAGTGTCCCCTCCCTATATTTTACGTTTTTAAAAAGTAAATAAAAACAGCTCAACTAGTGTTTGTCTCTTATTAAATACGACACATTGAGAGCTGGAATAAGAATGTGAATCAGGAAAATAATAATAATCCTTGCATTTGATATGGCGCTTTTCACGTCGGGAGGACGTCCCAAAGCGCTTCACAGAACACACTGTAAAGTGAATTGACTGTATATTTGTGGGCGAACGAGGCAGCCAATTGCGCACAGCAATGTCCCACAAACAGTCGTAGATTGAAAATGACCAATTTATTATTGTTTTTGTTTTTTGGAGGGATTATTATTATTATTAGTAAGGAAACTTGCCCGAGGTTTCGCCCTCTGCCTGGAATTGAACTCAGGTCTCTCGCTTGCAAAGTGAGAGCTCTAACCACTGAGCTACAGGACTCCAAAAAAACATCCGAGTTGAACTATTAATAATACTTTTGATATAGGGCCTTATCATGTCATTAGGATGCCTCATAGCGCTACACAGAATATACTGTGAAGTGAATTGACTATAATTTGTGGGCAAAACATGGCAGCCAATTGCGCATAGCGGTGTTCCACAACCAATTGTGGATTGAGCGACCAAATTATTATTTTTTAATTTATTTTGATATTCTCCTTTATTCCACTCCATTCTTTACCTAAAATAAATCATAGAATCACTAATAATGAGGTATAAGTCATAGATGACAACCCACAGACTACAATAATACTTCCAGAGAGGAAGAGGCGGGGAGGGCATCAAGCAACAAACACAATCTAACTTTACACACTGAACTAAACCAGAACAAGCTGAATGAAATACGTTAAGCACATTAAGAAAAACAACTTATTAAAAGGTTCCAACATATTCCAGTGAGTTCACTGACCATGGTCCAGTAATAGTACAAATCAAGTACAGTAATTGGTTGAAAAGGACAACATTAAAGAGCTTTTATTTAATGCATCAATTTAGTCTCAGGCTTTCAAAACTCTGAACCTTTTTGCAAATACTAGGACTACTAGTAAATGAATTGCTTTGATCAACCATTTTGTGTACAGATGGAACCCAGATAGCAAAATCAATAAGATGGAACTTCAAGTAACCCTAACTGCTTTCAGTAATTATTTTAATCATTTTACATAAAAGAGTATTTGTTCAATGGCACACTATTTACAACAGTAATTTAATCAGGCAACAAGAACTTAGGAGCAATAAACAACCCTGATCATCACAGTGCAGGTTATTCCTCTGGCAAGACCACATGTTGGATAACCCACACATCTCCTTTGTTCCCATAATGTTTGAACTTACCAGTTAGTACTGTTGAGTTGTATTTTTTAATCTAGTCTTTGAAAATATGCCTAGTTTGCTCAAATATTATGACAGTAGGAAATCAACAATCAACAAAACTCAGTGTACACTCAAACACAGAAACTGAACCTGATCCACCAGCTTATTTGATATTAGATATTTTAATCCCAATGCCCTGCTCTTTCGTCATAAACCTTCATACCACTACTACTTCTGAGCACACTCAGCCAAGAGCACTGCAAAGCCATCTTTGCTGCAATGTTTCATTAACAATCCACCGCAATTTTTCCAGTTCCTTAAATTTCTCTGGGATTAATTCTGGTGTGAAAATATCAATACAGATAATGATAGGACTGGGAAATACTGTGCTAAATCTAGTTAGCTTCTGAATTACCAAATCTGAGGCTGCATAAGTATATCATAGATCAAGATTACTTACTTGTACTTGACCAGACGAGATGCTTGGATGAGCTGTACCGTTTCATTAGTGCAATGGCAGGCAAACAAAAGCCAATTTCTCGGCTGTACTTTGTATGCAAATCTCATGAAAAGTAGAGAGTAACAGCACAGCGCTGTGAAAAGAAGTTACAAGTAACTTATACAGAATTCCAAATAATTTTGTCATCAAAATCCTTAGTAATTGGGTTCAGCAGATTTCCTCAGACAGACAACAGGCTTGATTAAACATATTGTGCTGGATCACAAATAAAGCCTTTTTTGTAACAAAATCAAAGGAACTAAAAAACAAGTAACATTATTTGGTATGAATATTTGGCTTCACTACCCCAATGGAGGGACTGAATCATGTTGAAAATCATATTTCACCTCTCTTCAACAAACTTGAGTTTTGAATAATCAAGAATAAACTAGTTTCCTACTTGACAACAATTATGTTGTACTTGATTTCGCACATTGAATATTATACTTATAGGGGTGAGAAATATAGTTCCCAATAAGCTAGTTACTAATTTTAAAAAAAACTTGTGTTGAAACTTGAGAAATTCTTCAGTTTTAATTTTGCAAAACAACATGCATTTAATTGACACTCTATCCGTTCACATTTGGGACCTGGATTCAAATTAAAACATCTCTTCTGCTAGTTGTAAGGAGTCTTGTGAAATGAGATTGCTTATTGTCCCCAAATGATATTCTCTGACATAACCTTGCAATCTGAACCAAGCACCTCATACAGGTGACTGGTGGGACGGACAAAATGGAGACTGATTCAGCAGGTCTTATTGTGAAATTGTAGCATTGGAAGGAAAGATATGCAGGTGAATATTCTGTGGACGGTGGAGTGGGGGACATTCATATTGAGCAGACTCAATAAACCAATAGGCCTTTTTTTTGCTCTTCCTGTCTATGCTGATACTCCATTTTGGCATGGTCTGTCAAAGATTGAGGTCAATTCCCCAGCAGATATTCTTCTCCCCTACCCACCTCCCCCCAGCTTCAGCGGAAAAAGCTTTTAAAAAGTCCCAAATTAAAATAAAAACAAAATATAGGTTACATTAATAGAGCTGCATTTTTTTGGCCTGAGGTAACAGCATTACCTCAGAGACACTGTCATATTATTCTAAAAAAAGCATGTGCTGTTGCCCTTAAGACTGTGAACCCAATGGACTTGTTTTGATCAGCATGCTCACTATGTTTCACTGAATAAACTGCCCAAATGCATGACCAGAAATCTGCTAACATTAACTTTTTCCACTCAAACCACAAAGATTACAATATATAGGTTAATATTCTGAATTCTACTTATTCACATTTATATCATTTAAACACATTTCACATTATAATAAATAATTTCAGTTACAAATACCTTGTTTTTGACATTTTTACATTTTCCCAATAATAAGTTCTTTCAATAAAAGTTATTCTAAAATATTTGGCAACATGAGGAGAAACAGAACGGTTGCACTAATGGCTCAGCTTATACAATAACGTCTTGTGCTTACCATGTTATAATAAATCATGGCAAATTATGCAAAGTCCTCAAGTAAAGATAGGATATAAATTGGACATAAATTGCACCAAAACCAAAGAAAGATTGAGAAAATAAATAGAAAAGAAAAAGATCCTAGAGTCCACCACACCCACTATTGTGTGCCAATATGCAGGCAATGCAGGCCATCTAAATCAACTATATATGTATATAGATATTACACTTCAAGCATAAAGGAAGATAGATTATTTTATCACCATGTTTCTTCAGTAATAATTGATTAGGGTTGCAAGAAGTGAATGGAGAAAACAGATGCTTTTTTCCATAGAAATGACAAAAAAACTTCATGATTATGTTCTTATTTACACAATAGAAACACACACTTTAGATTTCAGAAATTCAGGATTTCAAATTGTTTTTGTAAACATGATAAAGGCACTTCAAAGTTTTTGCATGTCAATACATTTTATTACAAAGGAATCGAATGGGCGCAGCATGTTATTGCATAATTAAGCTACATCCAAGCCACAAGTGCAGAGGCACCGAGTACTGGCACTTGACCACAAAAAAAGTTAACTAGCCATTTTCTCGCACCTCTGCATCGATAGTTACTAAAGATATTGAGAGACAAGATCAACCTCCTTACAGAATTGTTTTGCACCCCAATGAAGCTCCAAGACTGTAGAAATATGATTTAAAGATTTTTTTTTAATTTTCTTTCATTTTTAAAAAAGTTAAAGAAAGGCATTAGCAATCGCATATACCATTTCACACAAGTTGAAATTCAAATACAGTATGAAGCTCTTCCCAATCTCAAGTTAGGAACACTACATATGGAATCAAGTACACTTACAAATTAGGAATTTGCAATTTGGGAATCAAATCTTAAACATGGGATATTGGATTCAACGATATCAGATTTAAGCTTTGACTTACCAAAAGTCATTCTGCCACTAATGATCTCTGGAGATTTCTGCATATCATTCATAGCTGCAATAGGGAGGCCCCAGTTAGCTATTGGACCCCAAAAGTGCTATGTATAATCAAAGAGAATCAACACAATGTTATCAGTCTCAGCCAAAATATCACATAACTTAAAAATTCTTTACACCATGGTTATCTTACATCACCCGAGTCATGTCAAGATTTATAATAAATGGCTTATTACAATGCATTGATAGTTTGCATTTCAGCTATTCCATATACATTTGAAATAAATTATCTGGATCCAGAGATACTGATAACAGTAGAAACCTGCCCAGGTAAAGTAACATTTAAATTTAGAAATCTTGTTGTGAGGTACTAGTTAATTGCCAAAGATGCTGACCTAATAAGACCCAAATTCACATAATTAACTGAACAATATTCTTTAGTTAAGTGAATAAATCAAGCTGCACCCAGTTCCTAAAAGTTAAGACACTTTGAAACTGAATTGGTACAATATCTTTCAAGTTTCACTAGCAATGGAACTTCTGTTCTTTTCAGTCCCCTCAAAAACACCCCATTAACACTGCTCTTTTCTGTGATACACATATAGATACACTAAAAAAAGTGTTTTATGCTTCCCATCCCCCCCACCCCCAAAAAAATGATAACACACACCTATATAAAAGTGTTCTCTGTTGTGAGGTTGCACTATTTATTGCCATTATATTTTTCACCCCTTTCTGCCTTCTTAATACCTTGGCTCTTGGAGAAATAGAACACCAGGGACACTGGCACATCTTTGATACCCGAGTCAAATATCCATACTTCACAGAAGAATGGTCAACTAATACGCATTGTTGATGGGTATATCAAATTAGCATGCAGAACATATACAGAACACATTTAACTCTTATAAATTTTCCATCTTACCGTACTGATGGTATATACGGCCAGCCAGGCAAGAGGTTTTTATTAAAGGGAAGAAAAAGAAAAATAAGTTAATGTTTTAGATTCTGTTGTTAAAATTGTTTTCCCGTTCTTCATATCAGTCATAAGCCATATTCATAAGCCAGTCAGTGGGCAACTGATTAAGTTTGTCTTTCTAGAATACCCGTCCTGTAATCTTCCCATTCCTGATTAAGCATTTCTAAAATTAGTCCATAAAGTTCCACATTGGGAAGCTTCATTACTGCACCAGTCCTTACATCACTGATGTAGCAGAATCAGAAATAAAGTATAAAATAAAGTATTGACCAAGATAAGAATTTCATATCACAAGACTCTTTAAACTAACATTTATGTCTGTAAAACAAAGTACAAATTCTATGGAGAGAAAAATGTGCCTGTTACATGCTGTAAAGATCTTCCTGTATTATTCAATCATATATTGCTATATTATTGTCATACATGGGATCATTACAAGGTCAGAGACCATGGAACCAGCGTAAAAACTGCAGAATTTCAAACACTGATAGTAAACATATGCTGGGCATAGTGTAAAATGGCTTAATACATATAACACCTGGCATTTATATCCATGCAGGGTTGCGTTTCAGAGTGCTTAACTCTGGTGTCTGTATCCAGTAGAATAATGTTAACTACTCCAGTGCTGTACAACAGTGCAGAATTATGCTCTTTTACGGTATAAATTTTGAGTTTAAAAAGGCTCAAAAGTTTGACCTTGAGTTGTCCACCCATCTCACGTGAAACATAACTTTACAATAATAAAAATTCTTACATTTGATACAATAGACTAATTAGTTGCAGTAAATATTTAACTTTGAATTAAAATTTAATATAAATTTGTCAATATCAGACATACATGAAATCTAATATAAATAGATATTCTCTGTAAGACATCTAACCCCCAGAAAAATTGTGCTCCATTCCCTTTCTAGTGATGATTGGAGGAAACTAACATAATAATTGTAAAGGATCATTCAGTAAAGGTAAACAACAAAGATACATGAACAGCAAGGTCAAACTGTTGAGTTTTTTTTTAAAAAGACTCTAAAATTAGATCAGAGAGCATTCCACACTGTTACACGATACTTGACTAGTTAACATGATTCTACTCGATACTGATACGAGGGTTAAGTCCTCAATTTAATTAACGTATTCAAGCTTGTTTGTCATTTTCGCTCACAAAATATAGTCAATTCACTTTATTATATATTCTGTGAAGCGCTTCGAGACGTCTCGACAAAGTAATAAGGTGCTATATCAAATGAAAGGATTATTATTATTTTTAATTAAAGGGAACTTTAAAAAACACTAGTTTGGAATTAAAAGTTGTTTTGGTAGATTTTAATACAGTCAACTTAGATTTTCTTTCTTAAAACAAATTGTAGCATTTAAGGGAACACATGAAAACAAACATAAAATGTTAATATTTCCTTAACATTGCATTTTCAAAAACAATCTGACCTCCTTTCAATACTAACATTTTCTGCTTTCATCTCCAATACACAATACCCATCTGTTCGGCTCAGCAGTTAAAACTATCTTCCCTAGTAATTGAAACCAAGCACATTTACATGCTTACAAAGCAATGGGACACCCAATTGCACATTTTTAAATAGTGCACTTTTTCAAAATTGAAAAGGAGCATACTGTGCAGAATTTGAATACATCATATTTAATCAATCATAACAATTCACACAGAAAGCAACCACCATCAGGTATTTGATGATTATTATTCTAAATAGCTTGATTCTTCTTAGACTAGATGACTTTAAGGAGAAATGGAGAACACTCTTCAGAAAGAGTACATATATGAAAACATTTTCACAAAATAATTGAGGGTGTCCTTGGGATGTCCTACCGAAGTGAAAGGCGGTACATAAATGCAATTGTTGCTTTTAGGGATTTATAATAAATGATTAGCACTAGTCAAATGAGACAAGTTCTGATCAAGTTAAAATATAAGAGAAAACTAAGAATTGCTGAACTTCAACAGAAACCCAGAAAAAAAACTTAAGTATTCCAGGGTTTTTACATTCATATTCACTTTATTTAATCATTACTTTGTTTAATATCAAAGTGTTGAATAGTATTGGGAATATCAATTCCTGCTTTATTGCACATAATGTAATTGAAGATTTGAAAACTGCTCTCCATTTGTCAAGTTTTGAAGCATATACTGTATTCTCTAAGTATAAGGCCATATACTTCAAAATTTGTGACTTTTTAATGAAAATAGAAATTTGGTTAAAAAATTGCAAATTGGGTCAACAATTTGATAAGAAAGTAACACAACAAAGGATGGAAATTACGCAAATATACTAATCAAGTGAGAGTGATGTAAGAATCATTTCCCAGTGTTTGTTCCTTGTACCTTTTCTAGCTACAGTGAAATAATCATAAAAAATGTACTGTAAATGAGGATGTTGAGCTAACCAATTTAAATTCAAAGATTAAACAGTACATGCTCTTGGATAAAGTTCCTCAATCTAACCTACACCTTTGGAAATGCTGAAGGTTTTATAGCGTTAAAAAATTAATCCTTGGGTGAATCTTGAATTTATTTAACTAAGCTGCAATTACAAAAACGAAAAGTAAATCACTTTAGAAAAAGTTACAGCATCTGCTCTGCCAAGTAAAAATATTGACCAGCAAACTCAATGCAATCTCCTTGTTTCAGACTCAGACTGCCTCAATCTTCTGACATTATTTTGCAGCTCACTGAACCAGTGCACAATCTACACATTCTGTTCAAATCTCAACTCTCCTTCCTCCCTCACACCCAGTCGCTGAACAAGACCACTTTTTTGCAACTTAACCACAGACTCCATTCCTATCACACACCTGATGTACTGACTCAAGTTCTCAAATGTTCTCCTTACTGGCTTCCACAGCTCCATCACCTGCAAAACATTCCTGCCTACATCCTTATCTGTACAAAACTTTGGAAACATCCGCGTTATGAGGTTCCACTCTCTCCAGCTGCACAACCCTCACCCCACCATCAGTGGCCAAGCCTTGTATCACTGTTCTCTATCCGCTGGAACTCCCTCAATTACTCCATCTCAATCCCTCTGTCATCAAAAGTCACCTGTAAAATCTACCTCTTTGGCCACACCTGTGGTTACCTATCTAATTGCTTGCCGCCTGGTACTATCTTTATAAAAGCACTCCTAGACATACTCTACATGAAAAGTGCCATGCAATAATAATTATTATTAATAATGAATAATTACTTTTGATACACATTCAATGGCAGGAGGACATCTCAAGGTGATTCACATATTTTACTGTAATGTCTCCCCAGTCAGTCTCCTCAGCTCCACCATGCACCGGATCCAACTGATCAAAAACTCCACCGCCTGCATAATCACCCGTACTAAACTCCGTACCTTCATTACACCAGGTCTAGTCAAGCTTCCCTGGATCCCCATCATCGAACGGGTTCATTTCAAGATCCTCACATTCATTTTCAAATCTCTTCATGCCCTGGCACCTCCCTACCTCTCCAACCTGCTTACCCCCAATGAACAACTCGCTGCCTCTGCTCGACTAGTTCCAGCCATCTGCATGTCCCTTGTGCCCTCCGTTCCACCATTGGTGGCCCCGCTTTCAGCCACTACGCCCCAAAACTCTGGAACACCCTTCCTCTATTCTTCCGCCTTGCTTCTTCCTTCCCCATTTTCAGGTTGCACCTAAAGACTTTCCTATTCAACTGTGCCTACGGTTACCTCCCCCTCCCTCCGGCTCAGAGTCGTGCTCCACCACTGTCAAGCGTTCTGGATGCAACCCTTCATGAGGCATGTTATATAAATGCAAGTTGTTGCTGTTGTAAAATTTTGGAGGCAAACATGACATTCAATTTGCACAGAGCAATGTTCCATAGTCATGAACTGAATTGACCAATTTTATCTGGGAGCTTGTTGGCTGGGATTCCAGGAAAACCTTCCTTCTCTTTTCATCCACCTGAACAGGAATCAATATGAATGTAACCTGCTGTTGTATATGCGTTAATACTGAGATGTGAGAGGGGGAGGGGTGAAGAAGCTGTCAGAAGAGCTCAATAGTGTATACTCTGTCCTTGCAGATGTTGGACCAAAAAAATTGCATATTAATTGCAAAATTTACTGAGGCACATATATTTCATAGATAGAACCTGCAAGAAGCTGAATGAAGCCTCTGGATGCTCACTTACCATTTACACATCAAACAACAACAAATTACAATTGCATAGCGGCTTTCGCATCAGGAGGTCATCCCAAGGTCCTAGACAGTCAATAATTTAGAAAGCAAGTCAACTAACAATAAGTGAGACAAGATTTATAAAGATTGTACAACATGGAAACTCGGCCCAATCAATCCATGCCAGTGTTTATACTCTACGCGAGTCCCCATTCATGGCTTACTCCTTCCCTCCAATCTCTTCTATCCCCTCTCCCACATGTGAAGCTCTACTCTTGAATACATCTACACTATCTAATTCAACCACCGATTCAGGCAGCAAGTCCCACAATCTCACCACCCTCTGGGTGAAGTGGTTCCTCCAAAATCCTCTTTTAGATCTCTTAGGTGCCATCCTATACTTGTGTCCCCTGGTCACAGACTCCTCAACCAGTGGAAGCAGCCTATCCATGCTGACCTTATCACATCCTTTCCAATAATAATAATAATAATTGCAATTGATACCGCACTTCATCACGTCATTGAGAAATCTCATTTTATGTTCACGAGACATCTGTACGTTTAAACACCTCTATTAGGTCCCCTCTTAAAAACATTGCTTCTTGAGTGAAAAAGGCTCAACTTATTCAGCCTATCCTGATAGAGATGGAATCAATCACCCAATTACATGTTTGCACACAACTCGAGGTCAAACTGCACCTGTATATAAATAGCTACAGACATATACATCGTGTAGGCCCCAACTACAATACAACCGATCCCTGTCAAAGCTCAATGCTGGAAGAAGGATGAAGTGAACAGCTTCAAATCTCTCTTGTGATACCCAATAGGTCAAGAAATGTGTTAACATGAGGAAAGACCGCAGCAATTCAAGGAATATAAATAGCGCCCGCGTTACCGCACTTGTGCACGCGTTTAAAAGGACAGGGCGGGGCGGAACACCGCAAGAGAAGGTGACATTCAAAAAGCTAACAACATCCCACCGGTCGAATATACATCAGAAACCGACGGTTTTCCAACAAAATGAACCGCTTTGCAGCACAGGTGAAAATAACTCATTCATCGTATTTTGTGTGTGGGGGTGTGTGTGTGTGTGGGTGTGTGTGTGTGTGTGTGTGTGTGTGGGGGGGTGGGTGGGTGTGTGTGTGGGTGTGTGTGTGGGTGGGTGTGTGTGGGGGGGGGTGGGGGGGGGTGGGGGGGGGTGTGTGTGTGGGTGGGGGTGTGTGGGTGGGGGTGTGTGTGGGGGGGGGTGTGTGGGGGGGGTGTGTGTGGGGGGGGTGTGTGTGGGTGTGGGGGGGGGTGTGGGTGGGGGTGTGTGTGTGGGTGGGGGTGTGTGTGGGTGGGGGTGTGTGTGTGGGTGGGGGGGTGTGTGTGGGTGGGGGTGTGTGTGTGTGTGGGGGTGTGTGGGTGTGGGTGGTTGGGGGGAGAGGTAACTCGTCTCTTCTACATCAATTGTTTACTGCCACATACCGAAGAGGTGTTTCACCTGAGGCATTAACTGCGGCATTAACGCCCCGGGTGTTTGAGCCGGTCCAGGCTCTGCAACCAAACCCCGAGCCCCGAGCCGGCAACATACCCTCGACCTTGAGCTGACAATAACCCGGGGGGCCCGGGCCCGCCCGCCCGCCCGCCCGCCCGGCCCCCGAGCGTCGCGACCGAAGAGAGCTCCCCTCCGTTACCCCGGGACTCTGCTCTGCCCGGGACGGGAACCTGCCCCCCCCCCCCGGCAGCCCGGGCTGGGGAGGCTGAGCAGGGTCACTGCCGCTCGCTCCCCAGCCCGGCGCCGCCCGCCCGCCCCGCCACCAACCGCGAGCCAAACACGAAACCTCGGCGCACCTCATGAGGTAATCCCGAAAATCCTTGCTCCTGACATAGTCGGCGGCCCTACGAGCCAGTGCGCCCGCCATGGTGCCTGAGCCGAGCGGTCTGTGCTTTCCTCGCCCTCCCGCTGTGGTGGTGGTGCTGCTGCTGCTGCTGGCGCCGCCTCCCCCCTCGTAACCGCCGCGCCGCGAGCGACACACCAACTGTCACCCGGGCTCCGCGCGCCAGGGTCCGGATGGACGCCGCGGGAGGCGAGTTCCGACCTCTCGCCGCTCGTTGGGTGGACCGGCAGCCAATCAGCTTCTCCCGCTCGTTCAAGGGCGTTGAGGGCGCGCGCGTGCGCACCTCTCTGTTTCGGGTGGTGGGCGGGGCAATGGGGTGGCCCGCCCATGCAGGTCACGTGATGACCCCCCCCCACCTCCCCACCCACCACCACACACACCTGACACAAGATCTTGGATGAAAACCCACACCTGACACAAGATCTTGGATGAAAAAGTCCTGCCTCGCCTCCATCCGATCTCCTGCTTCCATCACACCCCGCCTACCGTGCGGGCGGGTGCACCTCGTGAATTGCATTCATTTGCTCGGGGAACAAGAGGATGGGGCCATCGCGGCTCGTAACGGGGCGCATTTGCAGAATTCCTCTTTTCTGTCACGGGCGTAGATCTACTTCTTGTGGAGAGTGGGAATGTATTCCCCCGCCCCCCTCCCCGCCAGCGATCAATATGTTTTGAACCCAAAGTATAGGTAGTTTGGGACGTGTGTGCACGCGCGGCCGCCAGGAAGGAGGAAGGCGAACGAGATGCACCCGTGGTCTTCACTCGTCTAGCATTTCTTACGTTCTTATGTCCTCGCATCACTTTATCAAGTTGATTTTTATACGAGTCCACGCGTCCTGGCCTCTACCACCTTTCCTGGCAACCTGTTCCAATCGTTTTAATTACCCACTGAGTAAAGAAAAACTTCCCGGTATCTGTCCTGAAACTCTAAACATATGTCCTCTTGTTCTCCTGTCTTAATATATCCTTAAGTATTGATCTGGGTTTACTTTATAAACCCCATTTAACATTTTGTACACCTCCATGAGGTCATCCATCCCTAAGTTGCCTTCTCTCATGACGGAAGAGCCGGAGCTTGTCCAGTTGTTGCTCAACAACAACATGTATTCATATCGTGCCCTTCGGGCATGGGCAGTGTTTCGGAGCACTAGTCAAAATCAAGGTTTTTCCACCTGTTCTTTCACAATGCTTCCACTCTGGCACCTGTAACCTGATTCTTAAACAAGTCAATCCTGTATCTCAGTGGTTAGAGCACTCGCCTTGCAAGTGAGACACCTGGGTTCAATTCCAGGCAGGTTGGGCAAGTTTCCTAATAATAATAATCCCTCCAAAACAAAACAATAATAAATTGGTCATTTTCAATCCACGACTGTTTGTGGGACACTGTTGTGCGCAATTGGCTGCCGTGTTTCGCCCACAAATATACGGTCAATTCACTTTACAGTCTATTCTGTGAAGCGCTTGGACCTCGAGAAGACGTGAAAAGCGCTATATCAAATGCAAGGGTTATTATTATAATCCTTAATGTGACCTCTTCCTTGTAAAATTGTTCCACTTTTTGCCCTCTGTTTGAAGAAACACTTCTTGGTGTCTGTCCTGAAATTACTCTTCACAACGCTGCCTTGGTTTATCTGAAAGTTTTGTCCTGGTTTACAATGTCACTATTTCACATTTATGCCTTTCATGTTGGGAGGATGTCTCTCAAGCGCTTCACACAAGTGATTGGGAGCACGAGTTGGGGCAGGGAGAGCTAAGGAGGAAGGTATATAGCCAAAAGCACTGTTAAAGAGATAGATCAGGGTGAATTTTTAAGGCATATGAGAGGGGAGAAGGCGATGGAGCTTGAGATGGAGTTCCGGAGAATGGGTGCCAAATGGTTGCAGGTTCTTATAAGAACATAAGAAATGCTAGACGAAAACAGACTAAGGTCCATCTGGTTCCACCGTCCTGGCTATTGCATGCACATATGTCCTGAACTACCTGTGTACTATATCCCATATTGTGGAGTGTAGCAGGCGGGGGACATGAAGCAGGATGGTGCTTACTGAGTGAAGGGTGCAGCCAAGCGTGTAGTGTCGCAGGAGGCCGCAGAGTGGGGTGAGATCAAGGAACCAGTTAAAAATGAGGACCAGAATCTTGAATTCAATTCACTGGGGATGGGGAGCCAGTGGAACTGAGCAACTGAGCAAGAATGGGGGTGATAAGACTCACGGAGCCTGGTGCTGGAAAGCACATGGTATGCAGAGATGGGCTACAGCTTTGGAGGAACTTGGGAGTCTGGTGCGGAGGCTTTACAATAATTGAGTCTGTAGGTGGAAAGCATAGATGAGGGTCTCTGCAATAGGGTTAGGGGGAAAATAATATCTGACCAGGCGATGTTGAAGAGGTGAGGGAAAGCAAAGCAAGTAGGGGTCTCTATGTAGGATTTGAAAGATAGCTAGACGTCAAACAAAACACTGGTATACACTGTCTCAATCCAATTTTTCTTCTTATATACAGTACAGAGTCAGATATTTACAAAGATTTACAAAGAATGTACAGCATGGAAACAGTCACTCGTCCCAACCAAGCTATGCCGGTGTTTATGCTCCACAAAAGTCTTCACCCATTCCTTACTCCCTCCCGGAGCTTCTATTCTTCTTTCCCTCAAGTGAAGTTCTAGTTTCCTCTTGAATGCCTCCATATTATGAGATTCAACCACTGCAGCAGGCAGCAAGTTCAACAATCACACCACCCTCTGTGTGAAGTAGTTCCTCTTAAATTCTCTTTTTAGATGCCCTAGTCACAATCTTATACTTATATCCTCTGGTTACAGACTCCTCAACCTGTGGAAATAGTCTATTTCGCCCACAAAATATACCGTTGATTCACTTTACAGTATATTCTGTGAAGCACATTGAGACATGATAACGCTCTACATCAAATGCAAGGATTATTATTTTTATTCTTGTTTATGCTGACCCTAGAACGCTTTTATATTTTTGAAACACCTCGATTATGTCCAATCTTAAGCCTCTCTTCTCTCATAAAACATATACAGTCTATCCTGATAAGCAGATAAGCTTATCTTGCCAGTATCATCCTAGTAAACTTATGTTGTACATTTTCCATTGCTGCTACAGTGTGGAAACCAGAATTGGACACAGCACTCCAAATGTGGTCTAACCAAGATTTTGTACAAATTTAACATCACCTCCTCACTCTTGTATTCTTTTATCTGGATATAAAGACAAAAAAAAGTCTTATCTGCAGTCATTATCTCCAGGGAATTCCTGGACAGGGCAAAATCTTAGGCAAATTTCTTCATTCCACATGCCTCTGGTTACCTAACAAGGCTCCTAGTAAGTAGGAATCCAGTTGTTAGTCGATTGGGGGATCGCTTTCCAGGGGTAATTATTCCTCCCTCCTAAAAATTGGTCTAATTTGTTTGTGGGACACTACTGTGTCCAATTGGCTGCCGCGTTTGCCCACAAAATAGTCAATTCACTTTACAATATATTCTGTGAAGCACTTTGAGACTTCTCAACAACAACAAAATTACATTTGCAGAGTGCCTTTCATGTTGGGAGGATGACCCAAGGCGCTGGACAGTCAGTGTTTCGGACCCCTAGCCGGGGGTCAGGATCGGGGAGGGTGGGGGGGGGAAGGAGGGTGATTGAAGGCACGGTCGAAGAGGAGGGTCTTGAGACGGGTCTTGAAGGAGGCAAGGGAGGGACTACGGGATGGAGTTCCAAAGGGTGGGGGCAGAGTGGCTGAAGGCCCGCCCGCTAATGGTGGGGTGGGTGAGGAGGGGGAAGTGAAGCAGGCTGGAGCCCGCTGAACGGAGGGAGTGGGCAGGTTGATAAAATAACAATGATAAGATGCTATATCAAATGCAAGCATTATTATTATATATTTTCAAACACTCCGAGATACTGCCCGGCATGAAGGATCTATATAAATGCAAGTTGTTGTTATATTAACACCTATCCATGTAGCTACTTTTAGAGATTTGTAGATCCGAATTCCCAGATCTCGTTGCTCTAAGGTTTCTGCCATTAGCCTATAGATATCTGCACTAACTGGGTCAGTGACGGTTTTGATGTGAGGTAATCATTCTTTAGAACTTAAAAAAAATTGAGTCTGTTTTCACTGAGGAGGTTGAGTTGACTCGTCAGAAATATTCAAGATTACAAGATTAGGTGAGAGACTAGGAGAGAATTCATGACTAAAGGGCATAAATTTAAGATCATTATCAAAAATAGAAAGGCAGAGGTTAGAATTTTTTTAAATAATTCAGAGGCCCTACTCTTTAAACACAAAACAATTGTGATGTAGTTCCCACTGGTCAACAATGCAAATACTGCAAGAACATGAACAAATACTATCAGTGCTGGCTGGCAATGCAGCCTTATCACCAACAGAGAGTCCAACCATGTTTTCGTGATAAAGTCAATATTTTCAGTGTCTGCTGTACTTCTCTGAACATTTCACAACATGTCAGCCTGGCTCAGTGGCTCTTGCCTCTGAACACCCCCCGCACCCCCAAGCTGCCTCCATCCTCACCTCAAACGCCAAGTGCAAAGAGGTCCTTCTTTGTATCAAAAATTTTAAATATTCGCTTGGCTGCACCCCGCCCACACCGTCTCCACTACCCCTCTCTTTCCACCATGGCCCCTATCACTCCTGCGGATGATACCGCCAAGAAGGATCTTATAGATAAGGAAGAGGAGACAGCCAAGGCTGCAGAACTGGAGTAAACCACAGGTGACCGGGCAAGGGCAGCAGGAAACACCGTTTGAGGAGATAAAGTGAAGGTGGTTTGTTAGGTAGGAATCGAACCAAGCTAGTGCAGTCCCACTGAGGAGGGAGAGGCGATGGAGGAGGAAGGCATGGTCGATTGTGTCGAACATGGTGGAGAGGTCCAGGAGGATGAGGCAGAGGGAGCCCTGGTTACAGAGAGAGAGGTCATCGTTTGTGACCTTGACAAACACCATCTCTGTGCTACTGGCAGGGCGGAAACCAGACTGGAAGAGCTTGAGGAGGGAGAGGTCAGAGCAAAGCTGGGTAGTAACAACACGTTCCAGAGCTTTAGCAAGGATGGGCAGGTTGGAAATGGGCCGGTAATTTATGAGGTTGGAGGGGTCAAGAGTGGATTTTTTGAGGAGGGGAGTAATGACAGCAGTTTTAACGGGGGAGAGGAATAGAACCTGAGGAGAATGACTAGTCGATTGTGCCGGCCGGCAGCCGGGAGAAGAGGGTGAGTTGAGTGACCAGCAACTGAGTGGAGTTTCTATTCAACTGTGACTACGGGTCACCTCCCCCTCCCCCCGGCTTGGCATCATGCTCCGCCACTGTCAAGCGCTCTGGGACACTAGCATGCGTGAGGGATGCTATATAAATGCAAGTTGTTCAACCCCCACATTGGGACTTTGTATAAGTCATGTAATCTAGGCTGACACTCCAATGCAATGCTGAGGATGTGCTGCATTCAGATGAGATGCTAAACCAAATTCCTGTCTGACAAGTCTTCAGTTGGATATTAAAAGACCCCATAAACATTTTTGAAACAAGAAGCAATTTTCCTGGTGTCCTGGCCAGCAATCCTTCAGATAAATTGGTTATTCACCTCATGGCTGCTTGTGGGCTTTGCTGCGAGTAAATGACAAGCAGCAGTAATTGTCGCAGGCACTTGTTTTGACGTTGTTTTGAAGTAAAAGCCACCATAAAAATGCAATTTCTTTCTTACACAGATTTGAACTGAGTAGCACCATTATAACAAACTCATTTTTAATTAAGTCATATATTTTAGTTTTATGAGAAATTCAGTACGTAATAAAACAACTTTAATATGTGATCGGCCTGGAGATAGGCATGTTTCTGACTATAAAAATGTATTAAGCATTTTATTAACAACTGCTACAAGGTGTGGAAAAGTTTGGTTTTGGAAATGCCCTTGGTCTGCATATTTGTGCAATTCTGCACCAAGACAGTCTGCCACCTCTTGTTGTTCAGCCCAAGGAAGGAAGGGGTCATCTGTGGAACCAAACTGAACAATCTTGGAACAGTTGGATCTGATCTTCTCCCACTGCCATGGACGGTTGAAGTACCCTTGGAGAAACAAGGGTACATCTTTACATTGTGAAATGGACAATAATTGTGGTGTGTGGTGGAATAAAACTGAATTTCTTCCCCCTCCCCCAAATATGTTTTCCTGAACAACAATAACAAGATTACATTTGTATAACGCCTTTCACATGTGTTTTCCTGAAAGCACACTGGGAGTTATTAGAGGGTTTTCAGATAGAGATCAGGAGCAGGAATCCTGCCTGATTTTTCCCTAATCTTAACCCAAGAGTTATGTTAGCACCCCTAATTTTAGGCTAATCTGGGAGTTAATTTTAGGGTCTAAAATCTGCACTGCTCAACACATACAAACATGCAACCTTCTGGTGTGAATATCCAAGTGCTGCACTGGGTAAGGCCTTTACCTATAAGGCTTCATTAGGGTTTCACGGGTTTGAAGATAATAATAATAATAATCCTTGCATTTGATATAGCGCCTTATCACGTCTTCAAGATGTCGCAAAACACTTCACAGAATATACTGTAAAGTGAATTGACTGTATATTTTGTGGGCAAAATGCGGCAGCCAATAGCACACAGGAGTGTCCCACAAACAGTCATGGATTGAAGTGACCAATTTTTTTTAAAGGTATTATTACCCCTGGAAAAGCAGGCCAATCGACTAACAACTAGGTTCCTACTTACTGCTAGGTAAACAAAGGCGTGTGGAGTATGGAAACTTGCCCAAAGTTTCACCCTGCCAGGAATCAAAACTAGGGCTCTTGCTTGCAAGGCGAGTGCTCTAACCACTGAGCTGTAGGACTCCAGATAAATTAAAAGGAGCATGTTTCCATCACAAAGTATACTCGCATATTCAGAAAATTGTAAAGGGTATTATATAAATGCAAGTTGTTGTTGATTTTGTAAGGCTTAAGTAGAGAAGACTAAGAAATTTCTTACCACTTTCTCTTTCATTGTCATCCCCAAGATCCGATGTATATGCAGCTATTAACACTATAGCATACACCTTGTGTATTTCAGCATATCTAAAAATAAAATTAAATAGGATTTTACAGCACACAAATTGATATATTAGGCATAACAGATATATCAGATATAACAGGTAAATCAGGTACAACAACTTGAACTTGTCTACACCATTTACTCAGGGTAACGCCTCAAAGTGCCGAGACATAACAGGTAAATCAGCCAGGGTTCCTGCCCATGATTGCTATCTCGAACTGCTGGAATTTGCATGCATGTTGAAGTCATGCATGTGCATTCTTATTGGGCCAAGGCTAGGATTGGTGGGTGGGTAAAGGAACGTCAGTCCAGATCCACATCTCACTAAAAGCTAATTCAGCGGCACATAAAGCAATTAAAAAGGGTTAAACGATGTGACCTTTTATGCAAGTGGTGGAATACAAAAGGAAGGAATGGTGTTTCAGTGGTCAAGAGCCCTGAACAGATCTCATCTACAGAATTGTGTTCAGTTTTGGGTAGCAGTTTAGGAAAGATGCACTGGTCAAGGAGGCATGCAGCGCAGATTCACCAGACCTCTGCTTGGTAACCAGGCTGAAGTAACTAAATTACGAGTGTTGGATACTCGAGGTACATACAAAATGGAGGACCTGAATGAGGATTGGCTGAATAAGAATGTATTGGAGAAGGTAGGGGAACGAGGTACAGGGCATATACACAATACTGAAAGATGAGACCATATGAACAGTTGACGGAAAAGGTAGATCTCGAGACTAGTAGAGAGAGATAACGGCAACACTTAATCCCGTTAGAAGCCTCCAAGAATGTGTTGATGGAAACATTGTGTATATAACATAACCCGATCAGGTCAGAATTCAATTCAAAAGAAAAGCTTTTAAAAGCTCATACCTCATTGCTGCAACTGCACCAGAGCTATGGCCAATAATAATGGTCTGTCCATCACATTGTAGCTTTTCTTCCATAAAAGGAAGCCAGATTTTTTCTTTGGCTGTAACTAGAAGAGATGGGTGCAAAATGAACAATGTACTGCTTATCAAATCAAAATAGCAACAGAAATAACTAATGACACATTATAAAAGGCACTTACTGGGATCTGGCATGTTCTTAAGTAAACATTGAAAATCTGGCACCTGCAAAAATATTGTAAGAAACAAATTAAACAGTCGCACAATGAACACTATTTGAACACTTTATGTATAATGTTCCTCAAGAAATAAAAGCTTAATATCCTGGATAGCTACAGGCAATAATTTAACAATATAATACATACAGCATAATATGAAGATACTTTTTTCAGCGATTACTTTCAGGAAAAGTAAGTTATGTAGAAAAACATAGCAGCTATATTTTTGGGGGTCAGCCGGGTGTCTGACACAAGTGGAAACCCATCACCATGCTCAAGAGTATCCAAACAAAACTGAAAATCCCACCTACATAAGGAAATCCCAGAGATAGATTGTTGGAAGAGAATGTGCGCTCTCTCCCTGGAGGGACCCATCTTGGAGTCCAGTAGCTTACTGGTTAAAGCACTCGCCTCGCAAGCAAGAGGACTTGGGTTTGATTCCAGGCAGGGCGAAACGTTGGGCAAGTTTCCTTCCTCCACATGCCTCTATTCACCTAGCAGTAAGTAGGAACCCAGTTGTTAGTTGATTGACGGATTGCTTTTCCGGGGGTAATAATCCCTTCCAAAAAAAATAATAATTTGGTCACTCAAACCACAGAATTTGTGGGACACCGCTGTGCGCAATTGCATTTCGCCCACAAAATATACAGTCAATTTACTTTACAGTATATTCTGTGAAGCGCTTTGAGATGTCTCAAAGACGTGATAAGGCGCTATATCAAATGATATTGAAATGATAATGATATTGAATTGAATTATTCAATATTGAATTATTATTAATCATGGCATGTCCCTGATGAACTCAAAGTGTTTGAATATATTTTTGCATTGTATTCAAAATTTGAAATCTGGGACGCTATATAAATGCATGTTGTTGTTGTTGTTGTTATTGTGCCTGACTGAAAATTGTGTAAGGGGGAAAAAAAATAATTCCTGCGATCTGATATAATAATAATAAACCTTGCATTTGACACAGCACCTTATCATTTCGTTGAGACGTCTCAAAGCGTTTCTCAGGTTGCACTGTAAGGCATAGTGACTTTGTATTTTTTTTACACAAAAAAATATAAAAAATCATATCATTTGTTTACAAAAAAAATCCATTTCATTTACAAAAACACTGGCACCCTGGAAAGTGGCATCTGCTTGGGGGGTGGGGGGGGGGAGAAAAAAGAGCCACTTTCAGGATAAGCTGGGGCAGGAGAGGGAGAGGGGAAACAGCCTGGAGACAATCTGCAAATTGGTGAAATAATACAAGCTGAAGTGGAGTGAAACATTGCAGAGGGGGAAGCAAAACCGATACAGCCGCAAGCAAGCTCTTTGGGAGGGGATTGGTGAGTGCTTCCTGCTGAGTCAGTCGCTTTGCAGAAGCGATTGAGAATCACACGTCAAGCGACACGCACCTGGTTGAGTTTCTTGTTCACCCAACCGTACCAGTTACTGTCCTCTACGTGCCCCCCTCCATTGCCAGGCACGATCACGGCTTTGCAGGGGAGGGCAGGAGGCGACTTGCTCTCAGCCATTGTTAACGGGGAGGAGCAGCGAGTCCTGGGCTGAGGCTGAGGCTGCGGAGAGAGAGAGAGAGAGGGAGGATCTACTGGGCTGATACACAGTCACAACCACCTATCCCTCCCCCAACAGCCCATAGCAGCCCCCGTCACTCAATCTGGCGTGGAAAATAATTAACCCAATTTTAAAAGACACATCATCTCTCCAACGTATCGAAATGAATTGGCAATCGGTCTCACCTTTTTGATGACATGTCACCAGCCACATTACACAGATACGTTCCTGTGTTCACAAAGAATAATGGACAGCATGAAAGCAGGTTAGTATAAGTAAATACAAAGTATTTACTTATACTAATGCTAGTTGCATTTGATAAACAAGAACAGCGCCAAAATTACATTTACAGAGCGCCTTTCACGTCGGGAGGACGTTCCAGGGCGCTGGACAGTCAGGGGTCAGGACCCGAGCATGGGGGTGGGGTAGGGGTGAGGGAAGGCAGAGAGGTGGGAGGGCGACTGAAGACACGATTGAAGAGGATGGTCTCGAGACCGGCCTTGAAGGAGGCATGGGAGGAAGCGAGGCGAAGTGACCGTGGGATAGAGTTCCAGAGTGTGGGGGCAGAGAGGCTGAAAGCCCGGCCACCGATGGTAGGGCGGGTTGGGCGGAGACATGGAGCGGACTGGAGCCCGATGAGCAGAGGGAGCGGGCAGGTTGGTAGGGAGTCAGCAGGTCAGAGAGGTAGGAGGGTGTAAGGCCATGGATGGCCTTGAAAGTGAGGACGAGGATCTTGAACTCGATCCTCTTTGGGATGGGGAGCCAGTGGAGTCGGGCGAGAGTGGGAGTGATGGGGTCACAGAGTCTGGTGGGCGAGTTTTGGATGATCTGCAGCTTGTGAAGGGAAGAATTAGGAAGGCTGATAAAGAGGGAGTTCCTGTAATTGAGTCTTGATGTGACGAATGCGCGGGTGAGGGTTTTGGCAGCCTGAGGGGTGAGGCAGTGGCGGAGTCTGGCAATGTTGCGGAGGTGGTGATAGGTAGCACTAACCTGGGGCTTTACTGAGAACAAAACATACTTATTTTCTGATTTATTCTAATACCACCAGAGACAATTAAAAGCTGTTAAATCTATACTGCCAACCCCTTCTAAAGGTAAACTTCTAATAATAATGATAAAGCTCATTATCAAAGTTGAAACGTCTCAAAACACTTCGCAAGATCTTAATTCTTTCTTTTGATATAGTGCTTTTCACATCTTCTAGACGTCTTAAAGCGCTTCACAGAATAGACTGTAAAGTGAATTGATTGTATATTTGTGGGTGAAATCCGGCAGCCAATTGCGCACAGCAGTGTCACACAAACAGTCGTGGATTGAAAATGACCAATTTATTATTGGTTTTTTTGAGGGATTATTATCAGGCGTGTGGAGTAAGGAAACTTGCCCAAGGTTTCACCCTGCCAGGAATCAAACCCAGGTGTGTCACTTGCAAAGCGAGTGCTCTAACCACTGAGCTGCAGGACTCCACTACTGTAGAGTGTGGTTACTTTTATGTAGTTTTGTGGTACAAATAACTGTAAATTAATTTCAAGCAGGTGCACAATAAGATGACATGTAATTTCACCTCTGGTGTCGGAAATCCGATGGGATAGTTTGTTGTCTGTGTCAGCTTGGTTGATATGGTGGTGTTCTTGTCTCTGGGCTATGAATATAGATTTACAGACGGATTGTGCAAACCAAATTAAACATTTTTTCTATGTTTTTCAGCATTCCCAGATCAGATGTTTCCTGCAAACTATCTTTCGTGTCCCCATATTTCATCGGTGCTTTTCTCGCATTTTTCGCTGTGTGTTCATTCACATGGAAGGAATTAAATAGCTGTAGTTTAAGAAATAAAATAGTTACACTTTGGGAGGTATCACATGACTCTCTTTTATTATGTCTTTTAATGGAATCTCACCTTGTTAAAACCGGCCTATCCCTCAGACTCACCGAACCGGTGCGTAACTTAGGCGTCAGGTTCGACTCACAGCTATCCTTCCTCCCCCACATCCGTTTCCATACCAAATTATAATAATAATCCTTGCCTTTCGTACTGGGAGATTATCTCAAAGCACTTCATAAGATTTACTGTGGAATGGCTGTGTATTTATAGGTGAATGCAGCATCCCAATTGTGCACAGCAATATCCCATAAACAGCCATGAAACAAATGACAAATGATCACTTCTCGGCCTTTTGGCTCAGATCAAGTCTCGTCTCTGTCCTTATCAGTTACTCCTTGAGCTTGCAATGTCGGGAAAGTTCATCTCCTGTTGAGATATCTGAATCTCACCTATAACTGGGGGCATTATGGAAAGGATTGCGCTCCTGCCTGAAGCTATGCTTTCAGCCCTCTGTTGGTTGGGATTGGCGCCATGGACATCCTGGAATCCGGAGCTACCTTGAGCACTTGGTCACTAGGCTCAGGCTGAGCTTCCCTGCCGGAGAGGCGATCCGGTCACCTGAATTGCTCAGTTGATCGTGAGGACATGGTTCCAGGTCTGCGTTGTCCTTCGACAACTTGGGGCCATGAACAGTTTGTGGGGGATTGGGGTCTGTTTGTGGGCACGACCCTTTTACCCAAAGTGGAACCTTTCAGTCTAATTCGGTTATTGGGGGTGAGCAGGTCTGACCTCGCACACCAATAATAATAAAAAAAATTATTTATGGGATTGAATCTACTGACATTTTTAAAAAAATATATATAATTATTTATAAATATAATATTTAGTATAACAGGAATCCCAAACAAACACAATATCTTCTGTGACACTTTTTTCCCCCTTTTCTCCCGATACAATAACATTACCTTAACGCTGTTTACGGTACATTTACGGTAAAAACCCCAAACAATAATAAATTGGTCAATTTCGATCCACGACTGTTTGTGGGACATTGCTGTGCGCAATTGGCTGCCGCGTTCGCCCACAAATATACAGTCAATTCACTTTACAGTGTGTTCTGTGAAGCGCTTTGGGACGTCCTCCCGACGTGAAAAGCGCTATATCAAATGCGAGGATTATTATTATTATGATTATTACATTCCTTCACCGCGCACAAGTTGTGCGCAAGATTGTTGGGGACGCTCCCTTTAACACAGACGGTCCCCGGACTCCATTGGGAGACGGTCCCCGGACTCCATTGGGAGACGGTCCCCGGGGTGAGTGACGTGGCGTTGTGAGCCTCAGTGCAACGTCATTGCTGAGCTGTACTTCCGGCGCGAGAGCCGCTTCCGGCGGAGCCTCAGTGAGTGGATAACGGGCAACTCCGACCGCAGCCGCCAACCCCGACACCGCCCCCGACCTGTCCCCGTCACACCGACCCCGTCTCACCGACCCCGACCCCGGCCTCGGCCTCTTCACACCCCGGGGCCGCAGGTAAGTGCTGTCCGCACAGGGCGCGCGGACTCACTCTCTCACTCTCTCCCTCCCGGGGCTCTGACTGACCGACCGACCGACCTCCCGAGACACGGTCAGTGAGGCCGCCAAACACCGGCCACTTGTGGTCAGTCAGTCAGTCAGTCAGTCAGTCAGTCAGAGGGAGACCCCCACAGCCTCACCTGTTCATATCCTCCATATGGACTGAGGAATCCGCATCGCCAACGGTATTGTCAGAGTATAACGAGAAGTGAATACTCTTGAGACACGAGTCTGCGTTGACGGGTGAGTGTCGGTACACAGAGATATATCTACAGAGAGAGAGAGAGAGAGAGATATGCAAAAAAATAATTATTTGGTCACTCAATCCACCGCTGTTTGTGGGATGTTGCTGTGCGAGATTGGCTGTGGCCTTTCGCCCACCAAATACAGTCACTACTCTTTGCGCTATGTTCTCCGAAGCGCTTTCAGACGTCTCAAAAGACGTGATCAGGTGCCATTACCAAATGCAAGGATTTTTATTAGTGGTATTGTTACTAAGGTGTGGTATTCCGGCTGGGTGTTAGCCTGGTACGGTTGGTAACGTTCTCATCACCTCTGTGGCAAATTTGCCAACGGCTCATGTTGGCGACTTTGAATGCGCCTGCGCTTGCGCTCCAATGCAGCATTGGTGGTGTGTGGCATTGAGGAGTCCTGTAGCACAGTAGTTGGAGTCGTTGCCTCACAAGCGAGAGACCTGGGTACTCATTCCTGTGTGCATTTGGGTGCCATATTTCGCCCACAAGCTATACAGTCAATTCACTTCACAGTATATTCTGTGAAGGACTTTGAGACGTCTCGAAGACATGATAAGGCGCAATCTCAAATGTAAGGATTATTATTATTGTTGTTGGTAGTATCACCATTCAGGTAAGACAGTGAATCGAGGTCCCGTCAGCCTATTCGGGTGAATGTTAAAGATCCAGTGGCACTACTCGAAAAGAGAAGAGGGTTTCTTTCTCCTGTCCTCTGACCAACAATCAACAACAGCCATTCATATTAAAATAGCTCCCGTTGCAGGGGCTAGTTGGACTTCAGCTGAGCAGAAAGGGGAGGTGATCATAGGCTTGGTTAAAGAGGAAAGTCTTCAGGAAAGTCTTTTGTTGTTGTATACTGTAAAGTAGATTGACTGAGTATTTTGGCGGGGAAACATAAAGTACCTGTAGAACTGAATCCATGTTTTTGAAGAGTGGGGAAATAAACTGGAGTACTTGATATGTTAGATTTACAATAAGGTACAGTACATAATGTGACTTCAAGTTGACTAACATCCGTGCTATTTGATATCTTTCACAGAATTATTCTGCTTCAATGGCAACGTACTTGGAATTCATTCAGCAGAATGAAGAGCGAGACGGAGTTCGGTTCAGCTGGAATGTGTGGCCATCTAGCCGGCTCGAAGCTACGCGCATGGTGGTTCCTTTGGCTTGTCTCTTGACTCCTTTGAAAGAACGCCCGGATTTACCACCAATACAGTATGAGCCTGTGCTGTGCAGCAGAGCGACCTGCAGGGCTGTTCTCAATCCACTGTGGTACAATATCTGTATTTTACTTACCTCTTACCTCTAAGCCATAGCCTGAAAGATTTTTAACCTAGATACGGTTTCTAATTCTCTTGTCTTGCTGTCAGTATCATTTTTTAAAAAAAATTAGATTAATTGTTAAATAACTTATTTTTTTCCTCTAGATCTGTAGATTCTTGGGAGTGTTTGTGTTCATTATTTATTGATTAAACTTGAAATAACACCCAAATTCACAGCAAATTACATTGTGTATCAATACAGATAGACTGAAGCTGACTTGGAAGTGTACATGGAGATTTATAAAAATATACAATCAACTTGCCACATATATGTATCAAGCGCTCCCAGGCGCTTCTTCACGTGAAGGATACCATATAAGTATTGAAAGTAAATTGCTGTCTTTCTCTTTTCAACAGTCAAATCGACTACAGAGCAAAACTATGGGCATGTAATTTTTGTTTCCAGAGGAACCAGGTAAGTCTCAACAGCATTAATCTGACATGGAACACTTGTTGTTGTAATATATAATAGTACTCAATAAACTTGGAAGTTACAGAAAGTGGGGGAGGAGTAAATTCTGGATGGTGTTGGTGAGTTATCCTAACAGTTCTGTTTAAATACACTTATTAGTTTAGAACAGGGGCATAAGGAGAACATTCTGCAGAGTATTGTTTACTCCGTTGAAACGTTGGTGGTATTTCTTCAGTTTTGTTCAGTTGCTGAGTGTTCTCCTTGGCAAATTTCAAGGAATTCAACCAAGTAGGAGATTATATTAGGAAATGCTATGAAAAACAATCTGCTATTACCATTTGCATGTCAGATAGAGCAGGATGCCCTGTCTGTAAATGAATTGTGGACAATGGATTGCTTTTTGCCACTGATTAAATGTTTTTGTGGTGTCTGTTATAAGCTTCAAACTAATATTTATTCACTGACAATAATAGCAATGGGTTTATAACTGTTTGAATGTTGCAGTGTATTGCATGCCTTTTTGGAACTAGATTTTGCTTTAAAAATGTATCAGTTTTTAGTTTTTTTTTCAATCCCCATTCTCTAGAATTGCTTGAGTTCAGTTCTGTAAATTGAAACCTTTGCACACTATTTGAGATATCTTTGTATTCCAAATTACAAAGTTAATTGTCCCAAATTGACATGAGGTAGGGTTGAAGTGCTGTGGACATTGTTAATGTGTAGAAAATGCTGTCTGCTGTGTGTTCATTTTTTTTCTATTGGTGTCATTATCCTGCAGTTTCCTCCATCCTACTCGGGCATTTCGGAAGTCAATCAGCCAGCTGAACTCTTGCCACAGTTCTCGACGATTGAGTACATTGTACAGGTAATACTGCATTTACACAATTAGCATTACACTATTATGAATGGTCTGCACAAGCTGAGTACAAGCTGCCTTCTTGAACCAGAATTATGGAAATCTCTTCACGATCTGACCGGCTCTATACGTTGGATAGGTATATCAGTTACGCTAATCCTTTTTAATTATGTTTGACCAGCGAGGAACAGCAACCCCTCTCATCTTCCTGTATGTCGTGGACACCTGTTTGGAGGAAGATGATCTTCAGGCCCTCAAAGAATCTCTGCAGATGTCGCTGAGCCTTCTTCCACCCAATGCATTGGTTGGACTCATTACATTTGGTCGAATGGTCCAGGTCCATGAGCTGAACTGTGAGGGGATTTCCAAAAGTTATGTCTTCAGAGGTACAAAGGATCTGACTGCAAAACAAATCCAGGTATGTATGGCAACATCTTGGAATGTTTCCTTGAAATACTTGACCTTACAATTTTTAGAAGATGAATGGTTATATTTTAAAATTCATTAGAAAATTACTTAGTTGAAACAATTTTTGTTGGAACACTGTTGATCACGTCAACAGGACCTGGCTGGTCCAAGGTCCGAGTTAGAGTCCTAGAAAGTTACAGCACGGAAACAGGCAATTCAGCTGTTGTTGTTTGTCTCAACAGGAACCACCCAATCTAATTCCACTCTGCTGCTCGCTCCCCACCTTCTTTATTCCTTTATCTCATTTACTTTTAAAAGGTTTTATGGACCCTGCTTCAACTACAGTTTGTGGCAAAGGATTCCATATTCCAATATACTCTGTGTGAAGATTTTTTAAAGCTCTCCTTTATATATTTTTTGTGATTATTTTAATTCTGCATTTTGTAGGAGAGGGTGGAATTTAGTATGGTTCAATGGAACATGGTTGCTGAAACATCAATGTCAATCGTGATCTCTTCTAGGGTTAAGTCAGCTCCTTGCACTTCGTGCGCTGTAATGCCTTCCAATGTGTGGTTTAGTACTCTATTCACATTTATTTGATTACAAATGAAACTCATTCCTTTTGGATTGTTCTTAAATTTTGTTTGGCCTGGGTATTGATGGAGAAACTCTACCTTGATAGTTCTTCTGTGGCACTAAGAACAAATTTAACATCATAGTTTTTAATGTTAAGAAAATCATTATTGAACTTGTAATTGTTGTACCAGAGTATCAAAATAGAGGGTGGTCAATGTGAAAACTGTTTTTAATTAATGAAGCTTTTCAGACATTTTGCATGATGGATTAAGACAAGGTTTACTTGTGTTAAATATTTTTGTTTTCACTTTACACAGGATATGTTGGGTCTTACCAAGCCACCCGCACCAGTCCAAGGAAGGCCGCCTCAACCACAAGAACATTCAAGCATATCCAGCAGGTATTCTACAAAGACTGTCACTACATTTCACAGTAAAATCTTGTGCAGCTTTTTTTGAGACCTCTCGATAACGTGATAAAGACACTATATAAAATCCAAAGATTTGTCTTGTGGTTACAGTCAAACTCTCACTGAATGTTTAGAATTTGAAGGGAAGGTACTGTTGGGGTAAAACAGCTGCTCTTCATGTTGGGTGGATTCTTTTCCCCTAGTCGCTAGACTTTAGCCAGAATGTTTCTCTTGCCTGCAGCTTCAAGCCCAAGTTCAAAGCAGGTAAATAGTACCTCCCTGAACAATTGTAATTTTTTAAATTCACAACAAGTTTGGGCCTGATCACTTCCAAACTTTGCATTTTTGAATATTTCACCTGGTGTTTTTATTAAGAAGCTTACATGAAGCGTCAAGGCCTATAGTGCAGGATACCAGTAGGAGCAAAGGTGATTAATTGTGGCTAGGTGATCCCAATTCAGAAGTTGTAGATTTTAGTATCATGGGAAGACTGAGGGAGACGAGGAGTTCTATATTTTCATGTGCTGGGAAATAATGTCTTCAATAGGGAGGAAGTGGCTTGAAGGCTAAACAGATATGAGTTCTCTGAAACTGTCTAAACACACTTCAAAAATAATAACAAGTTCTTGTACTCTGCCCCTCTGGGACATCCTCCCAGCGTGAAAGGTGCTATCCAAATATAATTTGTTGTTGTTGCCCCTGCAAGGTTCCTGCAACCTGTTCATAAGATTGACATGAATCTGACAGACCTGCTGGGAGAGCTCCAGAGGGACCCATGGCCCGTACCTCAGGGAAAAAGACCTTTACGATCCACTGGTGTGGCCCTATCCATTGCTGTTGGTTTGCTGGAGGTAATGAACTATAATAACATGATCAAAGAGCTTTGTACTCTTTTTAAAGCTTAGAAGTAGGTGAGTAAAATGAGGTTCTCCCCTATCCCCTGCTGTGGTTAAATCCTTTTGCTTTGTTTTTTTTCTGAGGACTTTGGGCACTACTGGAAACTTAATGGGGATGTTTCTACCCAGTATCTAAAGGAGGATTAACATATCCTTGAACCTTTATTTTAAGGCATTGTGACTTGTAGTAGTAGACTAGGATTTACCTTGGGATGGAGAGATAACATAAAAAAGTGATTGCAAAGTGTAACAGCACATTCATTATGAAAGGCTTAGAGTATAAGAGTAGGTAAGTCTTGCTGCAACTGTATAGGGCCCTGGTGAGACCACACCTGGAATACTGTGTCCAGTTTTGGTCTCATTTAAGGAAGGATGTATTTGTCTTGGAGGGGGTGCAGCGTAGATTTACTAGGTTAGTACCAGGGATGAAGGGGTTGAGTTACAAGGATAGGCTGACCAATTTATATTCCTAGAATATAGAAGAATTAGAGGGGATCTTACAGAAACCTATACGATCATCAAAGAACATGATAGAGTAGATAGTGGGAGATTGTTTCCCCTGGTTGGAGAAACTAAAACCAGGGGTCACAACCTTAAAATCAGAGGCCAGCCCTTTCATACTGAGTTGAGGAAGAACTTCTTCACTCAAAGGGTGGTGAATGTATGGAACTCATTACCCCAAAGGGCTGTTGACGCTCAGTCCTTGAACATATTCACGACTGAGAAAAATAGATTTCTTATTGCAAAAGGGATTAAGGGATATGGGGATAAGGCAGGGTCAGGTTATTAGCTGGAGTTAGTTTAGAAGATCAGCCATGATTGAATGGCGGGGCAGGCTCGAAGGGCCGAATGGCCTACTCCTGCTCCTACATGTTTTGTTATTCATGTGCAGGAAATCACAGTTTTTACTTCAAATACATTTTGTTGTAAATTAAGCATGTTCTGAAAAGTGTGTCAGCATTGAGTACAATACTGAAGGGTTGCCAAACATTTATGGTTCAGAACATGCACTGGGTTCCCTGGTAATGCTTTTGCTTCCTTCCTTCAGGGGACCTTTCCTAATGCAGGAGCAAGAATAATGTTGTTCACTGGAGGACCTCCGACTCAGGGACCAGGCATGGTAGTGGGGGATGAGCTTAAGACACCGATTCGATCCTGGCATGATATTGAAAAAGACAATGCTCGCTTCTTGAAGAAAGCATCAAAGGTTAGTCTGTTTTCTCCCATTCTTGGATGTTACATGAAATACAATTTGGTGCAGACCTATTTTTTGGGATGCATTGTGAGGTGGCAGGGTATGCTCTTAAGTGAGCTGCAGGTGAAGCGATTGATTCACTTCGATCTGCTAAGTGGGACATGCTGTGTATATTACTCTGAAGAATACACACCGTTCCATTTTGTGCTAAGAGGTTTTGTGAAACAGTAATGATGTCTAAATTTCTTTAGTTGAAGCGCAATAAACAACTGATTGTATGTGTTTGGCTGTCTGTTTGCATGTATGTATTCCTGAACTGTTGTTGTTTTGTTCTTTAGCACTATGAGGCTCTAGCAAGCCGTGCAGCTGTAAATGGTCACTGTCTTGATATTTACGCTTGTGCACTGGACCAGTCTGGTCTTTTGGAAATGAAGTGCTGCTCTAATCTCACTGGGTAAGTAATTATTAATAAAACCAAGTACCTGAGGCATAATAAACCAGAGATAAATGTCTTATCTTAATCTATATTGTACAGTATATTACAAAATCTTTCAAGGAGAATGCAGATAAAAGAAGCTTAATTTCTGGAACAGTTAGTAATCTTACTTTAAAACATCTTCTAGAGGTATTGTCTGCTGTGAGAAACCGAAGACCGCCATGGTTTCTATCTCACTCTTTGGGGGGGAGAGAGAGTAGGGAAGTTGTGATAGTTTACAGCAACAGACTGGAGGTTGAAAACAGCACTAAGGTGTGTGTACATATGACAACCAGTTTTAACAGCACATTCCTTCCATTGGAGCAGTTCAGTTCTCCAAAAGTCTCTTTATCTTGGATCAAGGATAGGAGATCCTAGCATTTATAGTGAGCTATTTTCATAGAGATACTGAAACCTGCCTGCTTGCCTCCTCCCCGTTAAACATCAGCAGTGTGGGTGATATCTGGTATGCTACTAGTTTGTTCTGAACATTTTATGTATATGGCTGAGGAACTAGTTTGCAAATTCTGCAATAAGTTCACAGAATGACCAAGTGTTTGTTTATAAATCTAGAGGTTACATTGTGATGGGTGACTCATTCAACACTTCGCTGTTCAAGCAAACATTCCAGAGGGTCTTCAGTAAAGACCTTCAGGGAGAGTTCAAAATGGCCTTCGGAGCCACTGTGGAGGTGAAGGTAAGCAGTGCTCTTCCTTTAAATCTGAATCTTCCGAAAGTGTATATTGACTACTGGAAACATCTGACCTAGCCTTTTGGGCATCTTAGTAATAGGACTAATTCGCTAGTAAGGGTACACTGTTTCCTTTGTCTTTTGAATCCATTCAACGTTGTGAAGTAGTATGATTTTGTAGTAGGATTAGAGAAAGGAATTACAGTAGGAACTATTCAGCTCATTTTAAATTGTCTTCTAACAATAAAATATTTGTTCTCAGACAACTAGGGAGTTGAAGATTGCTGGAGCAATTGGACCGTGCGTTACAATGAACTCCAAAGGTCCTTCTGTCTCAGAGAACGTAAGTTTGAGATCTCTCTGTTTTAGTAAGTTAGGTGTTTAACTATTCAGTGTACTGTATTTAAAGTTATATTATGCTTTAATAAAATAAAGCGCTGTAAGCACTTTATATTGCATATTAAGGAGGAAGCACATAATCAGTGACATTTAGTTTATCCAATAATTTTTAAATACCTACAGCTTTGAACAGCAGATTCTCCAATAATAGAAAATGGAACTAACAACTCGCATTTATATGCGCCCCTCATCGGGGTAGGTTCCAAGAGAACCAGAGCATTTTGTAGCCTTACTATAACTCTCTAACAAAGTAACTTCATTGTGTAACTTGTCTAGACTCTGTGAAGGCAGGCTAGAATTCTACTTGGGGCTACTTCTATTTTTTTAATAAAAATTTGAGAAGGAAAACCAGCCAAAGATCTCATTACAAATTACCATCATCTGATAACTGCTGGATAGCATATATTTGGATGTCAAGTGAGGACTGTCGTCACTGTCTAGATTTGAATATGAAGAATGGCCAACTAAACATGGTGGCAAAAAGTAGGCAGAAACCTGAACCCGAACAAGAGTCACTGCAACCTGCAGCAGAGGAGGTCAGAGAAGAAACTGAGTCGGTTTCTATATTTTCTAACAAATGCAGATTTATCAATTAGTAGAATTGTTGCAGTATAATATGTTGGTGTTAAAGTATCTGTACTGTGGTGAGTAGAATTATTTGTTTCTTTGTGGAATAATTTGTAGAATTATTTTTGTTCCTTTTAGGAGCTTGGTATAGGAGGTACATGTCAGTGGAAGGTTTGTAACTTGGATGCCTGCACAACTTTGGGGATCTACTTTGAAGTCGTAAATCAGGTAAAGGCTTTGCTTGGTTCTCCCTGCATTTCACATGTGAAGTTTACATAGTTATGTTTGAACAACAGCCTCCAGGTACAAGTCCCTGATGGCTTGGTAGATAAAGCCACTTCCTAGTGCAACAAAAGTCCCGCAGAGACCAGAAACTTACACATTCAAATACTGATCTGTGCTTAGTTGCTGAGTTAGTCGATCTCAGCTGAACAGACATTGAAGCTGTACAATTAGACTACATTTCTCTGGGTTCAAGAGAAGGAAATAATCCCTGGTTCTAACCCTTATCTCAACCCTTACTGAAAGGTACACCTGTGTGGACGTTTGGTAAGGATGGGTTTGGCTTGGCTGTGAGGCCATCCCAGGCCAAATAGGCTACAAATCTCCACATTGAGGCTCACGTAAAAAATAACGACTCGGGTGAGGTGCCAAAGGACTCTCAACAGCTGTGATCTGTAGGGGGAGAAATGTTCAGTAAAAGGGCAAGGGGCAGGGTGAAATTAATAAATCCATCCAGTTTCCTCCCCATCGGGTTTCAGTGAGTAGTTGAGCCATGCAGACTGCAAAGGTCTCTGAAGAACCAAACTCGGGAAGGATAATAAGATTGGAAAGAATAAATAATCCACGCATTTGACATAGCACCTTATCACGTATTCGAGATGTCTCAAAGCGCTTTGAAAACCTTTTTTTTGCAGCATAATGCACCAATCCCTCAGGGTGGTCGTGGTGCTGTCCAGTTTGTTACCCAGTACCAGCATTCCAGCACACAGCGACGCATCCGTGTTACTACAGTGGCCAGGAAGTAAGTGAAGAATGCAGATCCTCTAATAATTAATGTATCATGCAGCTTCCTTTACAGCATTTTTGGTATGTCTCCAACCATTATAAATGAAGTCATCTTATCTGTGACCACTCCCCACTCTGCCTTATAGTAAGTGGGTGAATTGTAGGATGAGAGTAATTTTACAAACTTTTCATCTCTAGTCACTTGCGACCATAGATAATTGCACATTTCCAGCAGCGCAGGAACCATTGTGCTTCCACATACTCACATCACCCATCCAGATCTTCTGAAATCTTATTCTTAAATTAATCCTGATTTATGGGAGGAGTAAATCCCTATTTCCCTCCCCCCTTAATTTTTTCTTCTTCAATGAAACCTGCAAATACAAAGAGTATACTTTACAACAATTACATGTGAAACACTTTGAGAAGTTTCAGTGTTATAATAATAATGTACAATATATCAAGTGCTAGCATTGCACACCAGATTGAGATTTGTAAGCCTTTCTTATTAATGTAGAGCCCAAAATCTTGGAATCATTTTTGCTGTTCATTTTTCTGAATTTTTCCAGTGAAATGATGTCCAAAATTACATTCAGAATTCTGAGACAGCCTTACAAGTGAATTTATATACACCCGTTTGTAGTGCATTTTTCAACATAAAATCAAAAACGTTCAGTTTTTTTTATGAACTACAGTGACTCCCAAGTGAAGACTGAATTTAAGAATTTGTCAAAATTCTGCATGATCTAAAATTTCAGGCAGAACCACATCGGTCTTTTGCCTGCTCACTGTCAGTAATGGTGTGAAGAATGTGCCCTATGTTTTAATCCTCAGCTGGGCCGATGCACAAAGCCAGCTCCAGCACATAGAAGCCTCGTTTGATCAGGAAGCATCTGCTGTGCTGATGGCGAGACTGGGAGTGTTCCGGGCAGAGTCTGAAGAAGGCCCCGATGTACTTCGTTGGTTGGACAGACAGCTAATCCGCCTGGTAAGGACATTGAGTTCTGTTACTTGACCAAGAAGCCAATTACGTTTTAGACTCAATTAAAAGGACTTGAGGTTATTAGGTGGTGATAGATGAGTTGAGATCGTTGGGAACAGTTGCATAGGTCGGCGAGATGGACTAATTGTTTATATCTGCCTGAAGATGTTACTATATTACAACATGAAACAAACCCAACTAATTTTATCTCTTTTCCCTCCAATCCACCCAGTGTCAGAAGTTTGGACAGTTCCACAAGGATGATCCAAATTCCTTCAGGCTGTCAGAAGCATTTTCTCTTTACCCACAGGTAAAATAAATCAGAAACATAATATTGAAATTGTGCAGAATGAATGAGGATTCTTTGGGATTGACTTCTTATAGAATCTTAACTTGTGTTTTGGTTTCAGTTCATTATGATTCCACAAGTGTATGTACCTCCGCTACCTCACCTAAGTAGCCATAAATAACGTGTGATTGACCTTTCACATTGGGTTTTGAAGGTTAATTTGATCTTAGGGGCATTACAGTTGATTGATCCTTGTCCAACATCCACACACTTGCAATGTCAGCAAGGATTGTTGGATTGTGAATTGGATCGGGTACCCCGACTGTTTTTTCCCTTTTCATAACCCAGACCAACTGAGAAAGTTAACTTAGGGATCGCACCTGGAATCATCTGAGTTTGCATGACTCCACTACTTGTGAATATAACCATTCTAAACCAGAATCTTGTTGAAAAACGACATCATGCTGAGAGGAGAGATTCCCATTGAATCCAGTCTTAATGCAGCTTAGAGACCAGGCAGATCAACTTTCTTGATTGCAATAGATGGGATAAAGTGAATAATCCAGCCCTAACTCCAGCTAGCCACCATTAAATTGAGCTGGGAAAGAAATTTTCTCATGGCTGAGTCCGTCACTAGAACAAATGAGCATTTTTCTTGTGTGTAATCTTAACATGAAATGTCTATGTATTTTTTGCTTTGAATTAATCTTTCTCCTTTTCCCTCCTCCCATCTTGGTTGCTAAGACTGTTCTCCTGATGTGAAAGGTGCTATAAAAATGTAAATTTGTATTGTATTGTTTTCAGTTTATGTTCCACCTGAGGAGATCACCCTTCCTTCAAGTTTTTAACAATAGTCCAGATGAATCTTCGTATTATCGACATCATTTCATGCGACAAGATCTGACGCAGTCTCTTATCATGGTCCAACCCATCCTGTACTCTTACTCATTCTATGGTCCACCTGAGGTAAAATTTGGTACATGAAAGCGCATTAGAAGTTGACCATTTTATTCTATGAGTAAAAGATTCCGTAACTAAGTTCTATAGATCTTCTTCATAAACCTTGATGTTTGAACCTTTTGAGCAGCAATTAAGATAAATATAAAGCCCTTTTCATAGTCTATAAGTAAACTTGAATAAATTCCTCTGGATTAGTAACCATAATTATGCATCTCATGTCTAAGTTTTGAATTTATTACCTGCTGTCACTTTTCTTAATACATTTCTGGTCATCTTGCAGCCAGTGCTTCTAGACAGTAGCAGCATCCTACCAGATCGAATACTCCTCATGGACACTTTCTTCCAGATTGTTATCTATCATGGAGAGGTTTGTGCTTAGTGGATCAGTTGTAGATAAGTGCATTAATGTGTATTGGAATTTTAAAAAAATATATATGATGCTGAGTGTTTTCTAGTAGTCAAACAGCACAATGTGACTTAATTGATACAGGATGAATTACTAATCCTTATATCAGTGTTGTACAATTTTCTTTGCAATGAAGTGACCTAAACATGCATGTACACAAGCCTGAGAGTTAAGTGATGGATCTCTTTATATATGGTAGAGATTATGCATTGCCTTGATCTTGAGAATTCTATAATTAAATGCTGGACTTGCGCAAGGTGACTTTTTGGGGGGTGCGGCATGGCGTGGGTTGTGTGTGGCAGCCTGGCTTATTTTGTAGCGTATTCACCCCTTAGGCTGAAGGTTGTGGTTCAAGGACCACGTTGTAACTTGAACTCACATAATTCTAAGATGACACTGCAATACGCTGGGGAGGTATTGCTTTGTCTGAAGTTCCTTCCTTCAGATGAGGCGTTGAACTGAGGCTCCGTCTATCTGTTTAGGGTGATGTTAAAAATCCCATGGCAATACTTGAAGAAAAGAGAGTTCCATCCCTCTGCTCTGGCCAACAATCCCCCAAATAAAATTAGTCATTTACTTTATGGCTGTTACTTGGACATTGCTTTGTGTCATTGGGCTGCTGAGTTTGCCTGCAAATACACTGTCACTCCACACTAAATCCTGTGAAGAAATTAACTGACTTTACCAGTGAAGAAATAGATGTGGTTTTTGAATAAGGCTATTTCCTTCTGCAGACCATAGCCCAGTGGCGGAAGGCTGGATATCAGGAAATGGCGGAGTACGAGAATTTCAAACAGCTCCTGCAAGCTCCTCTGGATGATGCGCAGGAAATCCTTCAGACCCGCTTCCCAATGCCACGCTATGTTGATACAGAACATGGTGGCAGTCAGGTACTTGAATGTTAATTCCAATGATTCCAGCTATTGAACTAATTTCTAGAGAAGTTGTATAAAACACTGTGTGTTTGCCTGATGAAAAGAGAGATCTTACTATATTTGTTCTGATGGGATCAAGTGTTTGAGTGCATTCACACTAGATTTACATAAACTCCTTCAGTTCTGTAGCCTATTATGAAATGTTTTTTGAAGAAAGGATAGAATTTACACTTCCTTATCGCATCAAAACTTTTGAAGCATTTTACGTTAACTTCACATGGTCTTAACTACTAGAAATGCCTATCATCAATCATCTCGCCTCTATGACCCTGTTGGCAATTTTAGGAATCACATTGGCAGCGTGGGAGCATAGAAAGGGGAGGATTGATGTTTTGTAATTTTGTTGTTATTGTTGAGAATCGAAATGTAGAATGTACAGGATTGGTTAAAAGATAATTGCAGTCCATTTGCCAGCTCCAAGGACAAAAACTGTTTTGAAGTTGCTCTGAATGTTTTCTCTTTGTTTTAGGCCCGATTCCTTCTATCAAAAGTGAATCCATCCCAGACTCACAACAACCTCTATGCATTTGGACAGGTTTGTACCTTTTGCAAGTGTTACTAACTAACAGTTTTTTTTACAAGACACTTTTTTAAAAGACACACTGCAATTTCCAATGTAATCATCTGTTTATATACTAATAAAGACGAAATGTCTGTCTGTGTGCCTTGTGTGCCCGTCAAGAACGTAATAACCGTTTGACGTAGAGACATGATTTATACCTCATCGGAATGGTCCTGCATTGGGGAGCGTCATGGGCATATTTTTTTGGTGGCATCTACTATCATTGATGAGCTATATTAAAAGAAATTCTGAATGCTTTAAGCCCCCAAAAAGGTATTCATGGTACTCTGCAACCAAGTAGCGACAGAGGTTATACATCCTTCTAGGGAAATACATCTTCTATACTAATAAAGACAAAATGTCTGTCTGTGCCATGAGTCCTCCCAAACAGAAGTCCTCCCACTGAGTTTTCCCAACAGGAGTCCTCCCACTGAGTTTTCCCAACAGGAATCCTCCCACTGAGTTTTCCCAACGCGAGTCCTCCCACTGAGTTTTCCCAACAGGAATCCTCCCACTGAGTTTTCCCAACAGGAATCCTCCCACTGAGTTTTCCCAACAGGAATCCTCCCACTGAGTTTTCCCAACAGGAATCCTCCCACTGAGTTTTCCCAACAGGAATCCTCCCACTGAGTTTTCCCAACAGGAATCCTCCCACTGAGTTTTCCCAACAGGAATCCTCCCACAGTCCTCCAAAAAGGATATGGGAGCAAGGGATGCTAGTGAGTTCAGTAACACATTTTCTTAATTTTAAGGGGTAAAGATGCCTAAGAAGCGAAGATCAAGCCTTTCAAGGACAAATAAAAATCCTAGCCGAAAGAGAGAAGGCCGATTAAATTAAATAGGTTGCAAGCGTAACTGCAACGGGTACAGTTAGTAAATAATAAGAGAGGGAGAATTTTTCTTGCCTGTTTTCCTTTTTTTTAAAATAAAGTATTGTCCGCAAAACAAAATGATTGTGATTTGGGAAGATCATCTTTGTAAAATATATTTTTGGGTGCCTTATTAATCAGTCTAATCAAGGCATGAATCTACACTGTTGTGTAAAAGTGCTTGGATGGTGTCCAGGATGAGAGAACAACTCTTGTGTTGTATTTCCAGTACTCACAAATATACAGTCAATTCACTTTACAGTGTGTTCTGTGAAGCGCTTTGGGATGTCCTCCCGACGTGAAAAGCGCTATATCAAATGCAAGGATTATTATTATTATTACTCCTGCTGACTCGGTGCTTTTTTTTCTTAAATAACAGGAATCCGGAGCGCCCATCTTGACAGATGACGTCAGTCTTCAAGTCTTTATGGACCATCTGAAAAAGCTGGCTGTGTCTAGTGCATCATAAGTGCAGGTATCTGAGACACGTGGGCACAGGCGGATAGAAGTGTGCAGCAGAGAACATGGGAAATAGTTACGCAGTCACTTCATGTTGCAAAAGAGCCTTCTAATGAATGTTGTCACCTGCTTCTGTTTAGTTTTCTTAGCATTTGATTTCTGTTTAACTCGTTCACCACGTATGGCATTCCTCGGGACAGAAAATTGTTCCTCTCCGTTATGAAAAGGGCCCTTGGTTTGATTATCCCAACCCCCTGGACAAAGAAACATTAGGTTTCTTTTAATTTATCATTCCTTCGAATGTCTTTGTGTAGATAACCAAGAATAAATCTGCTAAACACGCTCTTGTGTTAACTCTGTAAAATGTAATACAATATTTTTTTAGAGAATTTTCTTCAAGCTGTTGGAAGTAAAATGTTACTTGTTAAGTCACCTGTTTTTGAAGGTAACTAAACTTTTAAAACATAGCAAAGGATATTAAGTTGAAGACCGAGGACTGAAAAAAGGTTGGATGTAACTTCTCCAGTATTTTGGAGCGAGAATTTCCTGATGTGAAAGTTATATAACTGTAAACATGCAGCTAAAGCTATCCGATCCTTCGAGTTGGTAATTGTGAGCTTGTTTAGGTTGTTTCTCTTCATTTGTTGCACTTCTAGCTGTTTATATGCAGGCTTCAATTTTTATTAATTCTCTCAATACCTAAAATAGTTTGAGCCTCTCTTCCTTAAGCTCTGAACTCCAGATCTCCATGTAAAGTAAGTTAGTGTCACAGCCTGCTGTATAAGACCAAGATCAGTCAATATTTTGCTGTAATAAATTTGTGATTGAAAAGCTCATGCAAATAACACACTCGTAATGTTTGTGCTGTTCTTTAATTAATCTACTTTGAAGAGCTGGGGAGATGTGCGAAACACAAAGACAGCATGATGACTGTTGGCAGTGTCGTGGGTGTATAAAGCCTAAATCCATCCAGCGATGAAATATTTCTGTCCTGTTAAACAAGCTCAGGGAATGCACATTTTTCATCCTTGCACTCTGTGTACTCCAAAGCTACACTAACTTGTGGACTAACACTATCATGAAGAGTACCAGAAAAGCAATCAGGATGGGGTACCTTGAGGAGTGTGTGCACACACAATCATACGTGATGCTGAACTGGGAGCAGTAAAGTAGGCTTTACTGCGGTGAGCAGTGTACACACACAGTGGGGGACGGCACACACTGAATGGGGGAAGAGTGAGAAAGAAAGAGTGCATATACAGAAGGTGCTGTATGGGGCAGAGAGTGTACACACACACACAGCACTGTGTTGGGGGAAATTGAATGAGTGTGGCACACTGGTTGTTGTTCTGGGGACAGAGTACACACCCGGGACACTATTGGGGACGGAGAGAGACAGAGGGAACACTGGTTGCTGTAGTGGGGGCAGAGAGAGACAGAGGGCACACTGGTTGCTGCAGTGGGGGCAGAGGGAAAGGCAGAGGGCACACTGGTTGGTGCAGTGGGGGCAGAGAGAGAGACAGAGGGCACACTGGTTGGTGCAGGTGGGGCAGAGAGAGAGACAGAGTGCACATTGGTTGCTGTAGTGGGGGCAGAGAGAGAGACAGAGGGCACACTGGTTGGTGCAGTGGGGGCAGAGAGAGACAGAGTGCACACTGGTTGGTGCAGTGGGGGCAGAGAGAGAGACAGAGTGCACACTGGTTGGTGCAGTGGGGGCAGAGAGAGAGACAGAGTGCACACTGGTTGGTGCAGTGGGGGCAGAGAGAGAGACAGAGGGCACACTGGTTGCTGTAGTGGGGGCAGAGAGAGAGACAGAGGGCACACTGGTTGGTGCAGTGGGGGCAGAGAGAGAGACAGAGGGCACACTGGTTGGTGCAGTGGGGGCAGAGAGAGAGACAGAGGGCACACTGGTTGGTGCAGTGGGGCCAGAGAGAGACAGAGGGCACACTGGTTGGTGCAGTGGGGGCAGAGAGAGAGACAGAGGGCACACTGGTTGCTGTAGTGGGGGCAGAGAGAGAGACAGAGGGCACACTGGTTGGTGCAGTGGGGGCAGAGAGAGAGACAGAGGGCACACTGGTTGGTGCAGTGGGGGCAGAGAGAGACAGAGTGCACACTGGTTGGTGCAGTGGGGGCAGAGAGAGAGACAGAGGGCACACTGGTTGGTGCAGTGGGGGCAGAGAGAGAGACAGAGTGCACACTGGTTGGTGCAGTGGGGGCAGAGAGAGACAGAGTGCACACTGGTTGGTGCAGTGGGGGCAGAGAGAGAGACCCAGGGCACACTGGTTGGTGCAGTGGGGGCAGAGAGAGAGACAGAGGGCACACTGGTTGGTGCAGTGGGGGCAGAGAGAGAGACAGAGGGCACACTGGTTGCTGTCGTGGGGGCAGAGAGAGAGACAGAGGGCACACTGGTTGGTGCAGTGGGGGCAGAGAGAGACAGAGTGCACACTGGTTGGTGCAGTGGGGCAGAGAGAGAGACAGAGTGCACACTGGTTGGTGCAGTGGGGGCAGAGAGAGAGACAGAGGGCACACTGGTTGGTGCAGGTGGGGCAGAGAGAGAGACAGAGTGCACACTGGTTGCTGTAGTGGGGGCAGAGAGAGACAGAGGGCACACTGGTTGGTGCAGTGGGGGCAGAGAGAGAGACAGAGGGCACACTGGTTGGTGCAGTGGGGGCAGAGGATGCACTTTCACTCGCACGCACACAGAGGGCGCTGTGGCGGGAGCCGCGGGCTGGTGTCAGACAGGTGTGCGCTGTGGCTGAGCTGTGGCCTCGGGCGGGCAGTGCGGGGGAGGAGGGGGAGGGGGGGGAGAGCCGCCGGGGATGGGGGTCCGGGACATCGCGCGCTGGAACGTGCGGGTGTCGCTGCTGTACGCGGTGGGGGTCTGGACCATGTTGGGCTCGTATGGCTTCTTCGAAATGAAGAGGAGGCGAGAGAAGCGGTCAACGAGCACAGCCCCTCCCAGTGCCCCCCCACCAGGTCAGTGCCCCCCATCACCAGGTCAGTGCCCCCCTCACCAGGTCAGTGCCCCCCCCACCAGGTCAGTGCCCCCCCCCACCAGGTCAGTGCCCCCCCACCAGGTCAGTGCCCCCCTCACCAGGTCAGTGCCCCCCTCACCTCACCAGGTCAGTGCCCCCCCACCAGGTCAGTGCCCCCCTCACCTCACCAGGTCAGTGCCCCCCTCACCTCACCAGGTCAGTGCCCCCCTCACCAGGTCAGTGCCCCCCCCACCAGGTCAGTGCCCCCTCACCAGGTCAGTGCCCCCCTCACCAGGTCAGTGCCCCCCACCAGGTCAGTGCCCCCCCCCCCCCCCACCAGGTCAGTGCCCCCCCCTCACCAGGTCAGTGCCCCCCCCCCCCCCACCAGGTCAGTGCCCCCCCACCAGGTCAGTGCCCCCCCACCAGGTCAGTGCCCCCCCCCAGGTCAGTGCCCCCCCCACCAGGTCAGTGCCCCTCACCAGGTCAGTGCCCTCTCCCTCACCAGGTCAGTGCCCCCCCCCCCCTCACCAGGTCAGTGCCCCCCCCCCCCACCAGGTCAGTGCCCCCCCCACCAGGTCAGTGCACCCCCCACCAGGTCAGTGCCCCCTCACCAGGTCAGTGCCCCCTCACCAGGTCAGTGCCCCCCACCAGGTCAGTGCCCCCTCACCAGGTCAGTGCCCCCTCACCAGGTCAGTGCCCCCTCCCCTCACCAGGTCAGTGCCCCCCCCCTCACCAGGTCAGTGCCCCCCCCCTCACCAGGTCAGTGCCCCCCCCCTCACCAGGTCAGTGCCCCCCCCCCCTCACCAGGTCAGTGCCCCCCCCCCCCTCACCAGGTCAGTGCCCCCCCCTCACCAGGTCAGTGCCCCCCCTCACCAGGTCAGTGCCCCCCCCTCACCAGGTCAGTGCCCCCCCCCTCACCAGGTCAGTGCCCCCCCCTCACCAGGTCAGTGCCCCTCACCAGGTCAGTGCCCCTCACCAGGTCAGTGCCCCCCCCCTCACCAGGTCAGTGCCCCCCCTCACCAGGTCAGTGCCCCCCCACCAGGTCAGCCCCCCCCCACCAGGTCAGTGCCCCCCTCACCAGGTCAGTGCCCCCCCACCAGGTCAGTGCCCCCCCACCAGGTCAGTGCCCCCCCCCACCCAGGTCAGTGCCCCCCCCCACCAGGTCAGTGCCCCCCCCCACCAGGTCAGTGCCCCCCCACCAGGTCAGTGCCCCCCACCAGGTCAGTGCCCCCCTCACCAGGTCAGTGCCCCCCCACCAGGTCAGTGCCCCCCCACCAGGTCAGTGCCCCCCCCACCAGGTCAGTGCCCCCCCACCAGGTCAGTGCCCCCCCACCAGGTCAGTGCCCCCCTCCACCAGGTCAGTGCCCCCCTCACCAGGTCAGTGCCCCCCTCACCAGGTCAGTGCCCCCCTCACCAGGTCAGTGCCCCCCCCACCAGGTCAGTGCCCCCTCACCAGGTCAGTGCCCCCTCACCAGGTCAGTGCCCCCCCCCCCCCTCACCAGGTCAGTGCCCCCCCCCCCTCACCAGGTCAGTGCCCCCCCCCCCCTCACCAGGTCAGTGCCCCCCCCCTCACCAGGTCAGTGCCCCCCCCCTCACCAGGTCAGTGCCCCCCCCCTCACCAGGTCAGTGCCCCCCCCCTCACCAGATCAGTGCCCTCACCAGATCAGTGCCGCCCCCCACACCAGATCAGTGCCGCCCCCACACCAGGTCAGTGCCCCCCCCCTCACCAGGTCAGTGCCCCCCCCCCCCCTCACCAGGTCAACGTACGCACACCTCACTGGGCAGTCCCCCACTGAGTGCAGGGAACACTTCACAAGGTGGGATCTGGAAATGCATGATGTCTCACTGAGCACAGTCCAACAATTGGTGCAGGTTATGTATCTAAAACATTGCAATTACACAGTCAGAACTATATCTCAGAGAGCAATCACAGCGCGGGGTGGAACTTACACACTGCGATTCATCACCTATTGCTGGGGTAAACCTCTAGCAGGGCATGAGCCAGTATTTCCGGACACCATACTTTTATTAAAATGGAGCTGGGCTGGGCTGGATGAATAAGACGTTCATATTCTGCAGCTTGGGAGTTTCTGCCTCACAAGGCAATGGTGATACTTTGGCCTTTCCAACCTCACAGAATGAAGTGTGGGTACAGTTTTTTTTTCCATTCTGTTCTGTAGAACCTACCTGCACGGAGGAATTGCGAGAAGAACTCCAAACCAACACAGTGCCTGAAGAAGATCCAGTGAAAACAACTATTGCAACAGCTATTACTTTAAAGGAAAATTATGAACCTTTATCATCCAGAATCTACAGATACATTTTGGGTTATTCTGACAAGCCTGGAGAAGAAAATAATTCAGAAAAATAACCTTATCCTACTGTTGAAGACTGTAATGTCGAAGCCTTCCTTTTACACTTGGAGAATTTGCTTTACAATCTCCTTGCGATTTGTAAAACTGTCTTGCAACAGCACAGCTTGGGCTGTTCAGAAGAGAGCAGAATCTATAGTCAAGTGAGCCCTTACGTTAGTTGATCAATTCTCCCCCACGGACTTGCTGGGTAGCTCATTATTGTCTTTTAAAGGATGGAAAATTAGTAAATGGCATCAAAAAGGTTGTGCTTTCAGATTCTGAAGTGCCACATTATCATCATCGTGGAACAAAACTAAAATAGTCAGGAATCACAGAAAGAGGCCATTTGGCCCATCGAGTCTTCACCGGCTCTCAGATCAAAATGTTCATTTACTATCTATGACAATATATATCTATGACAGTTGTAGAACAAGGTACAGAATGACTGAGACTTTTGCCACTAATGAAGTGCATTCTACTTTTCGCACTCACATGCCTCATGCAAGAGCCTTCAAAACTATCTTTAACTGAAGGACATCGCAGTCAGCTGTCCTGTGTTTAAATGCCAATGATATTCCTGTCCTTTGAGCTGGGACAATAGAAACATGCGGAAATATTTGCCAAAAATTGCGGGGCATTTGCCAAAATTGCGGATGAATTTGATGGATCTTGTGGGAAATGCGGGGGGTTAATTGAGAGATGCAATTTTTTGAAACAATGCAGATTAAAACTATAGGCATATATTTCCTGAACATGTAGTTATGTTTAAAATACTAAAAATGTTAATGTAAATAGTACAGCACTTACCACTAATTGGTTTCAGGAGCTCAGTTTAGGCCGCGGGCACCGGGCGAGGCCAATTTGCCGCTTCTGCCCCTTACACCATCCCAATATTCCCTGCACCGCGCATGCGGGACTGGAGCCGCTTCACCCACGGACGGTAGCAGCGTTGAGCAAACAGCGCAAGAGGCCCAGGGCCTAGCTCACTGTGTGTACAGGTTTGCAGCGGAGGGTGTGTTTGTTGCAGAGGAGGGTGTTTATAACAGGTTCCGTGGAAATCGTGCATTTATCTATTGGGCCAGCCTACAGCATCCATACATGCCTTATCTGCAAACATAAGGGCAGAGGGAGTTTCTCCCAGTGTCCAGGCCAACAATTCCCCGGATAAAATACGGACGTTGCAGTGTGCAAATTGGCTGCTGTGTTTTCTTTACAAAAATGCACAGTTGCTCTACAGTAAGTCCTGTGAAGCATCTGATGTGACAGATGAAATATCAAATCAGGGCTTATTATTAATAATAATAAAAAATTAACCCATTTTCCCTCTAAATATACTTATTCATTTTCCTCAGATTATGGTCTAATGTTCTCTTCACAATTCTCTGGCTGTGATTAGTGTCACCATCTTAAGTTTTTTAATATGCCATAAACTGGCATGAATCTAAGAAGCAGCATTTTAACTTGTTAATATTGCTACAACAAAATTTTCATGTAAAGTATCCCTTGTGCATAAAAATAGGGGAAAATCATGTTTCTATTGAGTTTTTTAAATAAAATTGTGATCAAATTAATATGCATCATGAGCTGTCGAAAACAATAAAAGTTTTAAAGGTCATTAAATAAACTACTGTACATGGAATTATTATATTTTTGTGTAGCTGTTTTGTTTGTCTTTCACGAAGGAAAAAGTCTTGCAAATTGTCACCACACTTCACAGTTAAATCCTGTAAAGTGCTGTGAAACATCTTGACGATGTGATAAGATGCTATATCAAATCACTTTTTAAGAAAATATTAAAATATTCAGTTCACTCTGCCTGATCTCTCCCATTCAATGTCTGTGGCTTCAATTCAAATTTGGAGGCAATGTTCTTTTTTTTAGGATTTGCCTCGCAAAATTGGAGAATCTGATACTTCTCCTGATAGGTCCCTGTCACTAATTTGTATTTAGTTGGCCGAACTGCCTTGCCTGATGGCTGGTCAAAACCTTGTCTTCCATTCTTGTTCACTGTTTTGTACTGTACATGTGGTCTTTTGGCATTGGAGCCAATAAGTGCGTGTGATGAGTTGGGATTTAGGTTCCTGCAATTGTGTCACATGGAGCACTGGGTATGTTACTTCAAGGCTGGTAAATTCACATGCGGAGAAGGGTCATAAATAAAAATCCTTGCATTTGATATAGCGCTTCATCACATCATTGAGACGTCTCCAAGTGCTTAACGGAATATACTGTAAAGTGGATTGACTGTTTTTTGGGTGGATCGTGGCAGCCAATTGTGCACAGCAGTATCCAACAAACAGTCATGGATTGAGATCCAAATTATTTTTTTCCCCGAGGATTTATAACCCCTGGAAAAGCGATCCGCCAATATACTAACAATCGGGTTCCTACTTACTGCTAGGTAAACAGGCATGTGGAGTAAGCAAACTTGCCCAACTTTTCGAACCCAGGTCTCGCTTGCGAGGCGAGTCCTCTAACCACTGAGCTACAGGGTCCCCTTCACTCTCCATGTGCCAGTCATTCCTTACCCTCTCCACGTGATCAGGTGATGCTCTTTCCTCTCTCAGCCTCCCCACTCCCCACTGTCATGCTCGATGATGTTGATTTTAAGCCCTGGGCGGGAGGGCATGTGAATGTGGTGTTCCATTGGAGGTAGGCGCGGGAAACAAAGTACATAGTAAGTTCGAAAGCGGCAACTGTGGTAGCAAGTGGGATGTGGTGTCACGAGTTGCCTTAACGAGTTGTTAATACGACTAGTGCAGATACTTTTAAGTGGATTTAATAGGAATTTCAACGGGATTTGGCAGATGTATGAATTAGGCGATTGTACAATCTTTACAGATCAAACTAATGCAAGTTTTACTGTAGTACTAATGCTAAAAGGGATAGTTAATCTGCACTAATGTTCCACAGACAATGAGTTAAACAACAATTTATTCTGTTTATATGATGAATTTTAGACAAAGGATTAAATGCTGGCCAGGAAATAACAAGGTCTAAAGTGCAAGCTGAGTAAACAGCCCATGTAAAACTCTTATGGGTTGGGTTAACTGTGCAAACACATAATTCTTATGTTCTTATCGTGGGATACAGTATATAGTTAAGGGATATGACGTGCATGCGACTACCAGGATGGAGGATGGACCATGATCTTCTTTCGTCCAACAATTCTTATGTTCTTACATGTCAGAGGGAGTTATAGATGAGCTAGGTAATTCTGCAATTCTATACATTGATTGTTAATAATATTGTTAATGGCACTTGTTTATATTTGCAACGGTCAACTCAATTTCCATTTTGCATATGGTGTCAATCCAACCCACAAATTAGATCTTGTGGTGCAGTTATCTTTTCTCAATTTCATATACCTATTTGATAGAAGGGAAATATCCTTATAGCTCATTTACATCTTACCTCTCAGACACATTTTATTAACTCTGGTATTTTTCCAGGTCTTTTAGTGGCTTTGCACGAGAGTCAGATTATGCTTCCAATGCTGAAATTCTTGCGGAATCACTCCGAACTGCTGGAAAATCCGTTAATCAGCCCTTACTCTTCACAGCCAGATATGATTGTCCACTTGGACTACTCAACAGGCACAGTGAGGTCTAATGCATTGCAGTGTAAAATACCTGCCTTGTTATTTGGAATGTTTCTGCAAAAAAAAACTTTCAATGAGATTAAAATTTGTTTAAGATTGAGCATTCTGTTTACAACCATATTGATATTTACTGCAATGTAAAATGTTTCTTTTTATTCACATTGTAACCATAAACTACAATAAATTCTCCTTTTTCCTTTCTGTTATTCTGGGATTCCTGAGTCTGATGGCGGCTCCATGAGTTCATTCTAGAACATTAAAATTTATTTTAATCTGTAGTAAAAATAAAATATCTTGCTTTTTAATGCTCAAGATGCTGTAAGTATCATTAGCACCTCTTTCAACCTCCTCCAATGGCTTAGTGAATAAAAGTACTGCCTGGGGGCAGCACTAAAACCATCAGGTCACAGGTTCGAATCCTGGACTGTGCTGAGTTAGCTGATGACAACCAGGACAAATGGGAGTGATACCATCAGCCTCATAATCCCAGATTAGGGAAGTAACAAATCGGATAGGCTTCTAACTCACGATTACTTTCCAGTGCCTTATTGGAAGGTGAGTGGCAAGCGAGGATAGAATGGAGCTCACCTCTGGTGTCCACACTTGGTGAATAGCCTCCAGACAACAATACATCCCATTTATCACAGAATTATGATATTTTGAGAATGGTCACTTGAAAGAGGTCATGCAGGTCACGGAACAGTATTAGAAAGAATTGAAGGAGTTTAAATGTCTTTGGGATAAGATCCTTTAAAATCCATAATTCTGTGATAAATGGAAGCAGATTGTTATCCAAAATGGGTATATTGTGTGCTTTCTGATTGTTTGATAAATGGTGAATGGTGCACAAAAGCAGACCGCAGATAAATAATCAGATTGTGGTAAGCCAAGAGGAAAGTGCGAACAAAAATTGACGTAGGCGCATCCAGTGTGGATTTAAACATTTTATTGTGGGAAGGAAACCTTCATTTGTTCAGGTTTATCAGAACAATATCATTGTATCTCAGACCGCTGAATACTTACACAGAATTGCACTAATAGGCATTTGATGCTGTATAAATATGTTTTGATGATTATTAAAATGGGCATTGAAAAGTGATTTTCTTTTTTTCTCCTCTCCATTAACTGTTCCTGAAAGAGAGGGGCCGAATGGCCTACTCCTGCTCCTATATGTTATGTTAAATGTTGTAGACCAGCCATTGTAGAGAATAGTAGGTAGCGTGGATCAGTCATTACAAGGACTCGTAATTTGAGTAGTTACGGCAGTGTGAACATTTGATAATTTATGCATGAGGCGCTATTAAGTAATGGAAATATTTGTGAAGATCTCGTTAAAAGTCATTGACATATTGTCTACCCTTTCTTCCTTTTTCCCCCAAGCTGCCTAAGATTGACTGACTCAGCACAGACCTAAATGAAACTTAGACCTAAGCATCACTTCGTACCAAATTATATGGTGCACGACTGGGAATGTGAAAAGTACTATTTATTGTTAACAGATTGTTATTTTTCATGGTCAGTGGAGAGTACAATAGCAGTTGGTACATTTAGCTAGTGACCTCTGTACTGTCTTTGTATGAGCACAGCTGGACTCTGTCGGGTTGGTACTCAGAAAACATGAATGTCAAAGGGTACAGAAACCAGCCGTGGTATGTTATAAAAATAATAATAATAATCCTTGGATTTGATATAGCACTTTTTCACATCTTCTAGATGTCTCAAAGCGCTTCACAGAACAGAATGTAAAGTGAATTAACTGTACATTTGTAGGCGAAACGTGGCAGCCAATTGCGCACAGCAGTGTCCCACGAACAGTCGTGGATGGAAGTGACCAATTTTATTATTGTTTTTTTTGAAAGATTATTATCAGGCTTATGGAGTAAGGAAACTTGCCCATAGTTTCTCTCTGCCGGGAATCGAACCCAGGTCTCTCGCTTGTGAGGCGAATGCTCTAACCACTGAGCTATAGGACTCCTGTTATAGAAGTATGTCGAATTAATTTGCCATGAAGAATCACAGGGCAACTAAATAAGCACAAGAGAAGTAAACAAACATTCAGGAATATGATGAAAGACCTGGAAAGTGAGATTAATATTCTGGGACTTAAAAAAAACAGATAACAGCAGCACTGACACAATGGCCTCTGGCACTAAACATTACTAAAATGATTAATTACTAAACAGTGTAAGTGGGAACAGTCAGCCACTATTCCAATGAAAACTTGGCTCACAAACCTTCACATACTGCCAGCTGCTCCTTGCTACAAGTTGCAGTTTTTTATTCTATTAAATTCACAGAATTATAATTGAGGGTTTAGGGAAACACTTGATCCCACATTGTTTCCATTTCTCAATCACCCTCCATGTCCAAGTAATCCAACCCACACACTACCCGATCCTCACTAATTCCTGTTCCACAATCAATGTTCCACAATAGTTACAACAGTATTCCCTATAATGATTGATCTGCACTACACGAACACTCCAGTTCAATGCTCGGTGGGGGGGGCATCTGCCCAAACAGGTGGATGTTAAAGATCCCGTGGCACTAATCAAAAAGAGAATGAGTTTCTCCTGGTCTCCTGACCAATAATCCCCCAAATAAAATTGGTTATTTGCTTCATGGCTGTTTGTGGTATATTATTGTGTTTGCCTACAAATACACTCGCTCCAACATCTATCCCTGGAATTTCCATGCGTGAGTGAGATGCATGGAATTCTCAGCTTGGTTTGGATAATCTTCAGCGCGGTGATCGGTTTCCGTATGTGACACCCGGCCTACCAAAACAAAATGAGTAACGCCGTGAGATGTCCATCTGATGTGAAAAGCACTATGCCACAATGCAAGGATTATTATCGTTGAGAATATCAACACGGATAATAATAATCCTCGCATTTGTTACAGCGCCTTATCAGGTCTTCAAGACGTCTCAAAGCACTTCACAGAATATACTGCAAAGTGAATTGACAACATGTTTTGTGGGAGCTTGAACCTACAACCTTCTTGGCTCAGAGGCGAGAGTGCAACCAACTGAGCCAGGCTAACATAATTCTGAGCAACATCAAATATAATAGAAATAAAAACAGCTAGAAATCTGGGAGTCCACAAGAGTGGCTGAACCAGAGAAGTGCTGAAGAATGTAGTCGTGCAGTTGCAGAGACCTACAGTTACAGGGAGCTTTGGTGTGGAGTGAGTTACTAAGTGAGTAACAGGCTGTGCTGCAGTTACAGGGAGCTTGGGTGTGGAGTGAGTGAGTTATAATAATAATAATAATCCTTGCATTTGATATAGCGCTTTTCACGTCGGGAGGACGTCCCGAAGCGCTTCACAGAACACACTGTAAAGTGAATTGACTGTATATTTGTGGGCGAACGCGGCAGCCAATTGCACACAGCAATGTCCCACAAACAGTTGTGGATTGAAAATGACCAATTTATTATTGTTTTTGGTTTTTGAGGGATTATTATTAGGCTCTATGTGGAGTAAGGAAACTTGCCCGAGGTTTCGCCCTCTGCCTGGAATTGAACTCAGGTCTCTCACTTGCAAAGCGAATGAGTGAGTAACAGGCGGTGCAGCAGTTACAGGGAGCACTGGTGTGGAGTGAGTTAGTGAGTGAGTAACAGGCGGTGCTGCAGGTACAGGGAGCACTGGTGTGGAGGGAGTGAGTTAGTGAGTGAGTAACAGGCGGTGCTGCAGGTACAGGGAGCACTGGTGTGGAGGGAGGGAGTGAGTTAGTGAGTGAGTAACAGGCGGTGCTGCAGTTACAGGGAGCACTGGTGTGGAGTGAGTGAGTGAGTGAGTAACAGGCGGTGCTGCAGTTACAGGGAGCACTGGTGTGGAGTGAGTGAGTTAGTGAGTGAGTAACAGGCGGTGCTGCAGGTACAGGGAGCACTGGTGTGGAGTGAGTGAGTGAGTGAGTGAGTGAGTAACAGGCGGTGCTGCAGGTACAGGGAGCACTGGTGTGGAGTGAGTGAGTTAGTGAGTGAGTAACAGGCGGTGCTGCAGGTACAGGGAGCACTGGTGTGGAGTGAGTGAGTTAGTGAGTGAGTAACAGGCGGTGCTGCAGGTACAGGGAGCACTGGTGTGGAGTGAGTGAGTGAGTTAGTGAGTGAGTAACAGGCGGTGCTGCAGGTACAGGGAGCACTGGTGTGGAGGGAGTGAGTTAGTGAGTGAGTAACAGGCGGTGCTGCAGGTACAGGGAGCACTGGTGTGGAGGGAGGGAGTGAGTTAGTGAGTGAGTAACAGGCGGTGCTGCAGTAACAGGGAGCACTGGTGTGGAGGGAGGGAGTGAGTTGGTGAGTGAGTGGCGGGCGGTGGCTGCAGTGCCGGCGCTGCCCTGTAGGGGGCTCTCACTGCGCCGACTCCCGTCCTGTGTGATCGCCGACCGCTGCTCCTGCACCGCGGGGGGAGGGGCCGCGGGGGGAGGGGCCGCGGGGGGAGGGGGCGGGGCCCCGCGAGCAGCCCCGGGGGGGGAGGGGGGGACAGGCGGTACAGCGGCCGCGGTCGGTCAGTCAGTCTGTCCGCACCGCACCGCACCATGAAGGCCATCATTCAGAGAGTGACAAAAGCCCGTGTGACAGGTCAGTCATCTCCAGCTCAGGCCTCTCACTGGGGGGGGCAGTGGGGGGGGGCAGTGTGGGGCAGTGTGGTGGGGGGCAGTGTGGGGGGCAGTGTGGGGGGGGGCAGTGTGGGGGGGCAGTGTGGGTGGGGGCAGTGGGGGGGGGCAGTGTGGGGGGGGGGGGCAGTGTGGGGGGGGCAGTGTGGGGGGGGCAGTGTGGGGGGGGCAGTGTGTGGGGAGTGGGGGGGGCAGTTGGGGGGCAGTGTGGGGGGGGCAGTGTTGGGGGTAGTGGGGGGTGCAGTGTGGGGGGGCAGTGTGGGGGGGGCAGTGTGTGGGGGGGGCAGTGGGGGGGGGGCAGTGTGTGGGGGGGCAGTGTGGGGGGGGAAGTGTGGGGGGGCAGTGTGTGGGGGGGGCAGTGTGTGGGGGGGGGCAGTGGGGGGGGGGCAGTGGGGGGGCAGTGTGGGGGGGGCAGTGTGTGGGGCAGTGTGTGGGGGGCAGTGTGGGGGGGGCAGTGTGGGGGGGGGCAGTGTGGGGGGGGGCAGTGTGGGGGGGGGCAGTGTGTGGGGGAGTGGGGGGGGCAGTGTGGGGGGGCAGTGTGGGTGTGGGGGGGAAGGGGGGGGCAGTGTGTGGGGGGGCAGTGTGTGGGGAGGGGGCAGTGTGGGGGGGGGCAGTGGGGGGGCAGTGGGGGGAGCAGTGTGTGGGGCAGTGTGTGGGGGGGCAGTGTGGGGGGTGCAGTGTGGGGGTGGGCAGTGGGGGGGCAGTGTGTTGGTGTGTGGGGGGGGTGCAGTGGTGGGCAGTGGGGGGGCAGTGTGTGTGTGGGGGGGGCAGAGTGTGTGGCGAGGGGGGCACTGTGGGGGGGTTGGGCAGTGTGGGGGGAGTGGCAGTGGGTGTGGGGGGGCAGTGGTGGGGGCAGTGTGGGGGGGCAGTGGGGGGGAGCAGTGTGTGTGTGTGGGGGGGGCAGAGTGTGTGGCGAGGGGGAGCACTGTGGGGGGGGAATGCCTTGCATTCACAATGGCTCTGCCCCCTTCTCTTTCCCTGCCCCCCCCCCCCCCCCCTCCCCTCGGCGGCTGCAGTGACCCACATCCTGCATCCAGGTTTGCAACCCGGATGCCGGCAACCCACAGCCTCCCATGTCTCCCGAGTCTCACCTCCTCCGCTCCCCCACAGCAGATTCCCTGGCAGGAGAGAGGGGCGACTCCGCTATCAACGAGCTTTCTCAAACCGCCAGAACGAAAGTTGCTCAAAATTAGCATTTTTTTATATTATAATGTATCAAAGAAAAGTGTATGTGTAACATGTATTTATATCCTCTCCCCTTTATGCTGTGTACATGTACACATGGGATGTTGCTGTGCATACATTGGCTGCTGTGGTTGCCTACAAATACAGTCAACGCATTTAATAAGTATTACTGCATAGTGCTTTGAGATATTTCATTGATTATGGGCGTGATATCGACAACAGCAACTTGGGATTTATATAGCGCCCTCCACGCCGGACGGCGTCTCAGAGCGCTTCACAGCGACGGATCCCGGGGCCGAGCCGGGGGAAGGGGGAGGAAGGTGACCAAAGGCGCGGTCGAAAAGAAAGGTCTTCAGCCGAGATCTGAAAATAGGAAGAGAGGGAGTGAGGTGAAGGGGGTGAGGAAGGGAGATCCAGAGCCTCGGGGCTTAGTGGTTGAAGGCACGGCCTCCGAGGGTGGAGCGGAATATCAAGTGCAAGAATAATAATTATTATACGTACAGCGCAAAACATTGCAGACTAAATAACTGATTGAGATTATGGATACCCAAATGCTCCAGGTTTGGCCTGTCCCACCATGTTGGTGCCAACTGCTGGTTCCCAAACTCCTTCATGTCTTGGCCTTGATTCCATTCTGCAATCCTTGAAAATGTGATTGAAAATGTGGTATTTGTAACTTGATCCTGCGTTACTCTCCTCCAGCACTCTGGGTGCAGAGTTGGTGAATGGGATTATAGTAGCCACAGACTGCTATAATCCCATTCATTCACTGTTATGCCTAAGATTTATGCAACTGCCCTTGAATTTTCTAACTGATTCACTATTTTATTAATGAGTTAAAGGCCCTTGAGTGTCTATCACTAACATTGTGACTTGTTGCAGATAGTTTATTGAATTTAATGCTGGTGTATCAGGTGTATACAAAAAAAATGTTTTATTCAGTCTGTGGCATGGAACACAATTTGCTTTAGGATGCAATGGGTGGTGTGTGTGTGTGTGTGGGGGGGGGGTGCGGTCCAGCGGCAGTATGGACACAATGAGCAAAATTAGCCTCTGTCCGTGCTGTAAAAATGCAATGATCAATGTTATAGCTGGATGGTATTTCTCTAGGAACATTAGTACATATATGGACCCCCCAAAAATTGCAATCTACCTGAGCAGCACTGAAATTTGAAGGATACTATACCGTTATTTATCTCTTGCTCATTTCATTCACTGTTATGCCTAAGATTTATGCAACTGCCCTTGAATTTTCTAACTGATTCACTATTTTATTAATGAGTTAAAGGCCCTTGAGTGTCTATCACTAACATTGTGACTTGTTGCAGATAGTTTATTGAATTTAATGCTGGTGTATCAGGTGTATACAAAAAAAAATGTTTTATTCAGTCTGTGGCATGGAACACAATTTGCTTTAGGATCGGTAAAACATCATATGTCATAATAATAATCCTTGCATTTGATAGCGCTTTTCACATCTTCTCGACGTCTCAAAGCACTTCACAGAATATGCTGTGAATTGACCGTATATTTGTAGGCAAAACACGGCAGCCAATTGCGCACAGCAGTGTCCCACAAACAGTCGTGGATTGAAGATGACCAATTTATTATTGTTTTGTTTTGGAGGGATTATTATTAGGCGTGTGGAGTAAGGAAACTTGCCCAAGGTTTCACCCTCTGCCTGGAATTGTACCCAGATGTCTCGCTTGCAAGGCGAGTGCTCTAACCACTGAGCTACAGGACTCCATGATCATGGTGGACTTTAATCAATACAGGGTGAATCAGAAGTCCTTAGTCATACAGTTTTTAATTATTAATTACGTTTTTTTTAAGACAACATCCCTAGAAAGTGTGCAGTAATTACAGGAGATGTCTTTCATCGAGTCTCATTGCTTTCCTAAAAATTTTGTCACTTAGTTTTTTCACACAATGGAATCTTGTTGTTGTTGTTCGGATCTGGAATGCATTACCTGAAAGGGTGGTGGAAGCCGATTCGAAAACCAACTTTCAAGGGAGAAGTAGATAGATATTTGGTGAGGACAAATTTGCAGAGCTATGGGGAGAGAGTGGGGGAGTGGAATTAGTTTAGATAGCTTTTTCAAAGAGCTGGCATGTATGCAATGGGCTGAATGGCGCCTTCTTCTGTGCTGTATAATTCTCTGATTCTCTGATTCTTATTGGAAGGCAACCATGCAATATTCTGAAACTCCAAGGCAGTTTCAGTCAGAATAGCGTATTAAATTTAAAAAAGGTTGTTTACTTAATACTGTTTGTGGGACATTGCTGCGAGCAAAATTGGCTGCCACATTTGCCTACAAAATACACTTTACAGTAAATTCTGTGAAGCGATTTGAGAAGCCCTCTTGATGTGAAAGGTGCTGTCTCAAATACAAGGATTATCAGTATTACAGGAATGCTTTTGGATCCATTTCACAAACATTTCTTGTTTTTTCAGTGGGAGAAGAACAAATCAGTTCAATAGGACGAGGCATCTGTGTGCTATTGGGCATTTCTGTCGAAGACACCCAGAAAGACCTCGAGTACATGTAAGTATGAATTGAACTTACTGTAAAGCTCTCCTGCCTAGAATTCCATCCATTCACAGCTTCAAAGACAATTATTGTCATAAAATTTCAGATTATGCAGAGTTGAGGAAAATTCTTAAATTCAAACTTGATTTTTATACCAGGTTCCCTCAGTTCTTGAAAAGAAACACGGCTTCCAATTAAAGACTGGATTTAAGAATTTTTCACAATTCAGCATGATCTTAAATTTTAAGATATAATGATCTTACAGGCTAGAACTAAGTGGAATGTCAGGGCTCTTGAGAGGCTAGCAATTACACGACTGTCACAGTGGTGTAACATTGACTCTTACAAACCAGATCAGAGGTTTGCACGTTCAAATTTTGCACATGTCTGACACATTATGAAACCCATCATCATGCATGAGAATATCCAAACCAAACTGACAGTTCCACATATGTATGCCACCTACAAATGGAAATTTTCCTTCACCCCGCTTCACCTAATTCTGGAGAGTACAACAACAATAACTTGCATTTATTTTGTACACTTCATGCTGGTCGGTGCTTCATGAGGACAGGAGGGTTAGACACTGAGCGAGGTTAGCAAGAGTTAATGGTTTTGGGACTCCGAAATATGTATTGGGGTATTGCTGGAATTTAATCAGCTAAAACTTGCCATTCAGAGCGCTGACTAGCAAGCTTCCTGCTGCTTGTCCGGCTAGGAACCATTAGGGCTTTGGATCAACAGGAGGTGAGTGGGAAGTATCCCTGCCTTTGAGTATGCCCTGCAAATCCCATCAATGAACCAGGCTGGCTGGTCTGAAGTCCACTAATAAAACAACCACGGAGGGTTGACTATTCTGACACAGAGTCGCATATGAAGAGTGGATACTACTCGGATCTCTGTGTTTCTTTAGAAGAGGAAGGGAAGAAAGAAATTACTAATTTAGACTTTAAATCTTGTGACATTTCTTTGCTTCATGATAGTTTCCACTCAGCTAGTTTTCTGACTCATGCAGTCTTTTTCCTGTAACAGTATCGTCACTCTGACAGTGCAGTAACAATGATACTCATTACGTTTTGTAACCTGTGAATCATAGCTAGAGTGTATTGTGTAGAAATGACAGCTGATGTGGGAATTAAAGACCTCAAATCAATCTTGATTTCTATTTCGATATATTCACCAGCCAAGATGTGCTCTTAAGTCCCTCAACTGGATTATATAACTGATAACATCAAATTATACAGGCTTTTACAAAGCAGCAGAAAGCATCTCAACTGATACAATGCAGCGCTGCTCAGTGTCTATGTAATAAAATTTAGGTAACACCCTTCACAGTGGAGTGTTATATAACACCTTTCTCATTGTGCATAAAGCCCAGTATCTGCCCTGATCCAGTGCAACGATGTTCAGTGTCTGTTCTGATCTGGTTCAGTGATGTTCCTTACCTGCCCTGTGTGAAATACAATAATGTTCTGAAAAATGTTATTGTACACTACCATTGTAGCTGGAGGTGGTGGGGTGGGGGGAACAGGACTCGGGGGGGACTGTGATTTTTTGTCCCCATACGTACACTTTAGTAAACACTGCTCCAGCTCAACGTTGTCTTTTGATACAATCTGAACCCCATCGATTGGATTACAGGTTTGTGATTCCCCAGAAGGTATTTGCTCGCTCTCTTTTGCGTGATTTGCGACTGTAAGCAGTTCGACTAAAATATTTGTTGTCAAACACTTATTTTTAAAGAAACCGTTTAAAAAGCCCACCAGATTAAAACCAGGATTTGATGTAAAAGACTTTAATTCTAAAACCAAACTGTTTGAACTCCAGTGCTGAGGCACAGAAAATTAGGCTGTTTGATCCAATGTTTCCACATGGGATGTCAGCAGTGCATACAGCACTGAATGGTTTTCTCTCTAATCACTAAAAGAAAACGCCTGTTATCTATTACTGCTTTGACTCCAGGTGCATGTGTTCAAATAAAGTTTTTTTTTCCATTACTCATTTAGCTGCACCATAGGTGCGGAGGATTAACAAAAATAAAAGATTTCCAGATGCAGTGCTTGTGGAAAGGCTCGAGAGGACTAAATGACAGCTGATTGAACTTAAATGAAGGCAAGCAGTTTGACCCGAAGTCAAATTTATTCGTGGGGGAATGGAGCTTTAAAGTAAGCTGCTTAAGAGCACTTTAGCGGAATAAAGATAAGCATCTGGAACAGTTCTTAGAGTCATCTGAAGAGCCTAGGAATCAGAGGATATTATACAGTTTCTCACAACTACCTGACATACTGTACGTTTTTGACTGATGGGACCTCTCCTCCACCCCATGGGCAGTGTTGAGCCGGGAGTGAAGCTTATGGCTTTTGAGCTTTCAACATTTCCAGTAATGGTCTGCCATGAAACTCATTGGATTTTATCGCAGAAAATCCAGTATCAAGCTCCTCAGTGGTCTAGTAGATAAAAGCACCACTGATTGTGCGCTAAGTCATATTGAGTACAAATTGCAAGCTTGAATCTCAGGCTGTGCTAAGTTAGCTGATCTTCGTTGAGGTACAATTGGCCTCAGACTCCCTGTGTTAGGGAGGGGTAAATCAAATGCGGGGTGCCCATTTCTGATCACTGTTCTGTGGCTTCTGCTGGATACTCATCTGCTGAGGATTTCTAGAGAGGTTGAGATTGCTCAAGGCTTTCATACATCACCACTGTCCCTTCCACACTGTTGAATAGCCTCAATCATTCAGTTCACTGTCCAGGCTTACATGTGGATATTGGTCACTTGGATGAAGTACGAGAGAGAATCTGGATGTCAAATATCTTCAGGAGAGGAAGGGGGAGAATTCGGTGAATGTGGGAAAAAAAAGTGATGTTTATTGGAACCAACAAAATGATTATCAATAAAGGGAGGTGATTGTAATGGCTGTTGACACAAGCTTCCATTTCTTGTCTATCTTTTGTTAGTGTTGCAGGAGTGATTTGTTGTGAACTTACCTGTTCATATTGGCACCTTGTGTCAGTGTGAGCTGATGCACAGTTCTGACGCAGAATCACCTCTTTCCTGAAATAAAATGTTAACAGATGCCCTGCCTTTATTTCAAAGAGTGGGGTGTTGTTCCCGGTTTTCCCGGGCATCAGCCTGGCTCAATTGGTAGCACTCTCGTTTCTGAGTTAGTTGTTTATGGGTTTAAACCCCACGTCAGGAGTGTGTACACATAGTCTAGGATGACGATCCAGTTAAGTGCTGGGGGTTGTCGGAGATGACGTCCTTCAGAGAAGATGTGAAACTGAGGTCCGGTCAGCATGTTCAAATGGATGTCAACATTTCTATCACACTGCTCAAAGAGAGAAAGGAGTTTCTCCTGGTGTTCTAGCCAAGAATCCCCCAGATAAATTTGGTCATTCACATCATGGCCATTGTGGGATGTTGGTATGTGTAAATTGGCTGCTGGATTCACCTCCAAAATACATAGTCACTACATTTCACAGTGAATCCCAAGAAGCGCTTTGAGACACTCTTGACATGAAATGCACCACATCAAATGCAAGTATTATTTTTCACTATAATGTATTTCCCTCATCCAAAATCACTTCAAAGATGAGATGAAATTGGCCACTGGGATCATTATCGTTTGTGCGGGGATGGTGCTGGCAGAGTTTAGCTTACATAACACTCTAAGTATTTCAGGACATTCATCTGACATGAAAGGCACTATATAAAGGCAAGTTGTGTCTGCAGTCTTCATTGGCATTTGCTTTGTCTGTGGAAATGTGATTTTTTTCCAGGCTGGCCACACCGACTCCATTGCTTTCTGAAGGCAAAGACTTTATTATCTGGTGTCTCTCAATAGATTGACGGATCTGTAAGAAAGACAGATCCATCGTTCATTTATTCATTAAACAAAATTCTGCTGTAGTTCCTTGTGTCATCTGTGAAACAACCATATACTCTGGCATTTGCTACCTATCTCATAAATCAAGTTGATATATTTGACTGCAGCAAACAAGAATAAATCCAGTCGGTAGCACTTTCGAGTCCTGAGTTAGAAGCTGTGGATTCAGAACTAATGTAGTATATGCTGACCATCTAATGCAGTGCTGGGGGTACTCTGGATTGTTGGAGGCGGGGAGGACGCTATTTGAATGATGCCTGTCGGCCTTTCCAAGTGGATGTTAAAAATCACATGGGTCTATTAGAAAAGAAAAATTTAACCCGATATCCTGGCCAACAATCCCCCAGATAAGGTCACTCACTTCATAATTGTTGTGGGCTATTGCTATGCACAAATTAAGTGCTGGGTTCACCCACAAAATATACACCGTGGCACCACTTTACAGGATATCCTATGAAGCGTTTGGAGACATCGCATTGACAAAATAAAGCGCTCTATCAAATACAGGCATAATAATTATGATGAGACAAATTGAAGGGATATCCTTGCAATGCAAGTGTGTATTCAATGTGCTAAAAAGTATTCTACACCACCAACTATCAGCATAATAATCCTTGCTTTTGATATAATGCCTTATCATGTTGTCGAGACATCTCAAAGCATTTCACAAGATTTTATGTATGTACTTGCGGTCAAACACAGAAGCCAATTTGCACATAGCAATGTCCCACAAACAGCATGAAGTGAATGACTAACTTTAGCTGTGGGTGCGGTGGCCTGGTTATGGCTAGGAGAAGCTCCCTTCTCTTTTCGAATAGTGCCATGGGATCTTTATCGTATACCGGAACAGGTAGACGGGATCTCCAGAAGTGCACTGGAGTGTCACCCTAGACTGTGATCTGTGACAGCTGCTCTGTTCAGTTCACCTTTTAACCTTTCATATGAAACACAATCTCCTATTTTAAAAGAATAATATAGTCTAAAATTTCTCTCTGCGCTGTCTCTAGTGACATTGCGAAGGGATGGAAGGCTTATGATTGCTGTGCCCACAACTGTATGCAAGCGGTACACTACATGTACCATAGGACAGTATAGGTTCAGTGAGACTATTGAGGCACAGAATCTCAGAATGTGTTGCACTTTTAGTGGCGATCTGATTCATTTGGTATTGTAAAACCTGACGTGGGGAGCCATTGTATTGCTTTCCTCTAGAGAGGCTTGCAAGCAAAAAAACGACAGGCAAGACTGGAAACAAGGTTGCAATAATAATAATAATAATGAGATAAATCCCCCTGTATCGCACCGTGCGTTGCATGAAGAATAAAGCACTTTGGGATGTCCTCCCGACGTGAAAAGCGCTATATCAAATGCAAGGATTATTATTATTATTAATTAACCAACTCATCTCTTGCAACCCACCAGATTCCTGAAAGGCGAGCCATTCCATCACTTGTAGTTTTCAATGTGTAAAGTATGCAGTATGTTTAATGCGTTGCCTGTTGTTCTGTGGCAGGGTTCGTAAGATCCTGAACTTAAGGGTGTTTGAAGATGAAAACGGGAAGCGCTGGTGTAAGAGCGTAATGGACAAGCAGTACGAGGTGCTTGTGGTCAGCCAGTTCACACTGCAGTGCATCCTGAAGGGAAACAAACCTGATTTCCACTTGGCCATGGGAGTGGAACAGTCAGAGCCCTTCTACAATGGCTTTTTACAACAGATGAGAAAGACCTACAAACCGGAGCTCATTAAAGGTGGGGAGAGACTTTAGTTTTTTTTTGCTTTTCTTGCTGTCTTGAGGCCAATAGGTCGAATGTGTAAATCAATAGTCACTTTTATCTGGTGATGAGTACGGATGGTATTCTACTGCTTGAGGCTTTTATCTATAGCAATGGATCTGTGTGGAGAGATAATCAGAGATAATCATTTATTATACTGATTTGCTTTCTCTTTTCCATTAGAATTTCCAATAATAATAATAATCCTTGCATGGATATAGCCCTATCATGTCATCAAGGCATCTCAAAAGTATTTCACAGGATTTACTGTAAAATGTATCGATTGTATTTTTGTAGACAAACTATATATGAGGTTCGTTCTGAGACGTCTGTTTTCAAGACTGAAGAGCCCTAGCTGTTCTTGTTCTTCGTAGCTTGCTCTAACAGCCATGTCTGTACTTCCACCACTCTTCCAAGTAGCCTGTTCCAGCTGTTGAATACAATCTATTTTTCACAGCCCTGAACCTCTTTTTGCATATCTGAAACTATTGTTTATTAGTTTACTTCCTCTGCCTCAATTAATATCTTATATACCTTTGTAAGTTCCCCTCTGAGATGACTCTTTTCAAGGTTTAGAAGCCTTAGGTTATCTTGTTGCTCCTCATAGCTCAACCAACTATCACTTGGTTAGCTGTGTATCATCCTTGTTGTGCTCCTCTGCACTGCTTTTTAGGTCTGGGTTGCCACCTAACTACACAGGAATCAGAACTGTATTGCTGTCCTCTTGGTGTAGCTAAATCACTTCAGCATAGCTTTTGAGGGAACTGAACTCATCTGATTTGACAATATAACCCAGCATCCTGTTTTCTTTGTCCATTGCTGATTCATACAGTTTGGACATAGTGGGTGGTTAGTTAGCTAACACCCTTAAGGCCTCTTTCAACTTTCCCTACATTTGCCTTCAGACAAATACTGAAATGACAGTCATCAAATGTGAAGTTCTTTGAGATATTTCAAAGTGATAAAAAGCTTTAAAAATGCAATTTGTTTCTTTGATATCTAATGACATCAGTTCATAACGGAAATTTTTTCAAATTTCTAGGAAGTCTAAGTACACTGTCCAACGGCTTCGTACTATCAGTTTTGGATGCACCTTTTCAAAAAAAAATCTGGGTAAAGGGCACTTTGTCACAAAGATCTGTTTGGAAAACACAAGGCTTGGGAGATGTGATCAGCGTTCAAAAGTATTGTTCTGCCTTTTCTGTGATGAACAGTTCCTGTCTTTTGCAGATGCATTTATATTACAAAGATAGTGCATCTAAAAGACTGCCACTTTCCCACGCAATATTTAGTTTCAGTCAGAGCCCAATTCCTGCAATATTTGTGAACCGTTAATGTTCCTTGTTTGTTGCTGAATGTCCTTTGCAGGCATACAAACAATGTGATTTGCATTGCTGATTTTCCACAATGTTAAAGCAATTTGTGTCTCTGAATCTTAGAACCATAGAAATGTTCAGCACAGAAGAAGGCCGTTAGCTCATCATGTTTATTCTGGCTCCCTTAAGAGCAATCCTTTCGGTCCCCTGCAGCTGACTCTTTTGAAGATATCGATCTAGTTCCCTCTCGAAGGCCAATATGGATCTTGCCTCAACTACTGCTCCAGACAGAGCATTCCATATTCTGCGTGAGAAAAAATCTCCAACCTTCCCCATTTGCTCGTTTACTAAATATCTTAAATTGATGCCCTCTAATTACTGACTCACCAACCAGTGGAAATAATTTCTCCTTTTTGTCTCTTATCAAATCCCTCATAACTTTGAAGACCTCTATCAGGTTACCCCTCAACTTTCTTAGTTCCCTTCCAGGTTTGTATTGAATGAATATGACCACTGGATTAGCACTGAGATTGGGTGACTATTGAGATTGAGTGACTATTGGAGTCCTGTAGCTCAGTGGTTAGAGCACTTGCTTTGCAAGCAAGACACCTGGGTTCAATTCCAGGCAGGGCGAAACCTTGGGCAAGTTTCCTTACTCCACACGCCTAATAATAATCCCTCCAAAAAACCCAAAACAATAATAAATTGGTCATTTTCAATCTACGACTGTTTGTGGGACATTGCTGTGCGCAATTGGCTGCCGCGTTCGCCCACAAATATACAGTCAATTCACTTTACAGTATATTCTGTGAAGCGCTTTGGGACGTCCTCCCGACGTGAAAAGCGCTATATCAAATGCAAGGATTATTATTATTATTATTATTGAGATTGAGTGTGTAGGACTTTTGGCTTTGGTATAAGAGAGCAATGTTCATAAGAAGACTTTTCGAATAGAGAGTGTTTGCAAATCCCCATGTGGCATGTAATACGGTAAATGCATTATTTAAAAGTATCCTAGTCTGGAATAGGCCTGAGCCTAATGTTTAGTAAGATTAAAATTTGTTCACAGGCTGGTCATGCTTCAGAGGTTGTGCAGAAACCTCTGAAAATATGGTCTCTCTCTCACCATATTTATTATTTTGTGTTGAATTGTTCATCCCCAAATGGATTAATCAACAATTGTTTATAGATTGTAGGTTTCCTGCATTTTACATTCTCAACTTTGCGTGTAATGCATTGCTCTCCCCCTTGTGTGCATTGCTGAACCCATTAATGCATTGCTTGTCCCACACATGCTTTGCTCGTCTCCACCTGTGAATTGTTGATCCCCACCTGCTGCATTGCTCACCCCATTGACCACTTCCCACAAGCATTACTCAACGCACACATAATAATAATAATAATAATCCTTGCATTTGATATAGCGCTTTTCACGTCGGGAGGACGTCCCCGAGCGCTTCACAGAATATACTGTAAAGTGAATTGACTGTATATTTGTAGGCGAACGCGTTAGCCAATTGCGCACAGCAATGTCCCACAAACAGTCATGGATTGAAAATGACCAATTTATTATTGTTTTTTTTGCGAGGGATTATTATTAGGCGTGTGGAGTAAGGAAACTTGCCCAAGGTTTCGCCCTGTCTGGAATTGAACTCAGGTCTCTCACTTGCAAAGCGAGTACTCTAACCACTGCGCTACAGGACTCACGTACTTACATTGCTCGTATGCGGCATGCAGTGTTCATCCCACACTTGCATGACCTGTGAAATGTTTTGAGATGTCTCGGTGATGTGATAAGGCGCTCAATAAATGCGAGGATTTTTGCTTAATTGCACATGTGCATTGCCTAGCCCCACATGTGCATTGCCTACCCCCACATGTGCATTGCCTACCCCCACGTGTGCATTTCCTACCCCCACATGTGCATTCCCTACCCCCATATGTGAATGGCTCACCCCAATTCATGCATTTCCTGGTCTTATGTCAGTGCTCAACTAGCTATTATTTGGGATGTTAGCAAAAAATAAAGGCAAACGAAAAGAAAAGTAGAAATAATGAAAAAAGAAAACCTGAAATCCCACGGAAGACAAAGTTGCTTCAGGGCCAGTCTAAGCGTGTTTGTTTGATTTAATTTTTAAAAGGCTTTCATTTTTAGATGGCAAGTTTGGAGCCTACATGCAAGTGCACATACAGAATGAAGGTCCACTGACTATTGAGCTGGAGTCACCGACTGGCCCCAATGATCCAAAACAGGTAAGGAACATTGACCGTCCTCCTAAAGTGGCTGTAATTTGCGAGTGAAATACGGAATTCACTGAAGAAATTGGTCAAAAAAAATCACAATCCAGAAGGTTGGCAAAAGCCATTTTTCTTTTTGACCTTTCAGGCCTTTTCTCAGCCAGGACATGTCCTGAAAGCAAACCACCAATCAGGACTGGAACTCCTGTTTTATGAATAGCACATATTGAAGCTCCCCCTTGCCACTAGAGCGAACAATATAAGTAAACCGTTAATAATAGTATGATCAGGGAAACTTCTCTGACCTTTCCCATTCTTTCCCTCCAGAATAAAGCTCCATCAGTCCAGACTGATGGCTGGGTATGCTGCACTTTAAGAATGCTTCACTGAGGGTCTGGTTGCCTTTAAAATCCATGGGTCCTTGGTTAAAAAAGCACAATATTTGGAAATTCTGTGAGCTTTGTAGTTTTGATAACCGAGGATTACAGCTTTCAGTATTTATTAATTAATGACTTTTCGTCACTTTTGTTCAATCTAGATTTTTTGGGGGATGTTTTGCGCCTGTCTTCCATTTTGAAAAAAAAGTTCAAGTAAACCAGTCATTGTCGTTTTTCAAATAATTATTATGAATCGTTATGTAAGTCATCTGGTGTAGTGCACTTTATTATTCCAGATAATGCAAATTTAAATATTCTCAACACATTAATGTGTTCGTGCAAACACTATGCAAACTCCCAGCTTGTCGGCCTCCCCATCTCCTCCCTCCATAGACTGTAAATTATTCAGAACTCTGCAGCCTATGTCCTCTCCCGCACCAGGCTCCATGACCGTATCACCCCCATCGTCACCCAACTCCACTGGCTTCCCATCACACAGAGGATACAGTTCAAGATCCTGGTCCTCACCTTCAAAGCCCTCCATGGCCTCGCTCACCCCTACCTCTGTGACCTCCTAAACCCCTATCAACCTGCCCGCTCCCTCTTCTCAGCGGGCTCTGGCCTGCTTCATGTCCTTTACCTCGCCCTCCCCACCATTGGCGGGTGGGCCTTCAGCCACTCTGCCCCCACCCTCTGGAAATCTATCCCGCAGTCCCTCCGTCTCGTCCCCTCCTTTACCACCTTCAAGACCCATCTCAAGTCCCTCCTCTTCGACCGTGCTTTCGATCACCCTCCTTCTCCCCTGGCCTCCACCATTCCCAAACCTGATCCCCAGCTCGGCTCTGAAATTCTGTCTGTCCAGTGCCTTGGGACATCCTCCTGATGTGAAAGGCTCTATCCAAATGTAATTTTGTTATTGTTGTTGTGCTTCCTGTGTAGTTGGGGAAAAACAAGAAGGGAGTTGGCTCACACCTTCACCCTGTAATGTGCTCATCACTGACCTCTATAAAACCTGTTGCATTTAGCAGAGCTAATAGGGGAAGTTGCAGACACTTGAATATTCAGAATAAAAAACAGGAAATGCTGCAAAGTGCACAGCAGATCAGTCAACATCTGAAAGAAAGACAGGTTATATGGCGGGTGGGGCCAGTCATCAGAGCATTCTGAAGGATCACACCACAACTGTTACCCTGTCTTTCCTGCTCAGACTCTGGCTGACCTGTTGTGGGTTTCCTGGTCTATTTGGAATTGCATTTGTAGTTTAATCTAGATGACTGCTTCTCGAAACATCTTATAATTCTCTACTGTATTGAGCATGTCCATAAAACTTGAATGTTCCCATCTTTGCGCATCAGTCAGTGCTTACGGGTAATGAAGTATGTTAAAGATTGTACCCAAAGGCAGTAATTTCAAATGGGCATCTCAGTCTAGAGATGTTATTCTTCATTGAAAACCTTGGTAAATTCATGACTTGCCATCTTTAATTCAGATGAAACCTGTACCTGACAAGATGTATACTGGGCATAAGTTTCTGTATCATTTTTGTCTGTTTCATTGCACAATACAATAAAATTTACACTTATATAATGGCTTTCATTTGGCAGGATACTTAAAGCGCTGAACAAGCCCTATGTTGGGATGGGATTGAACCCTGAACATTAAAGCCCCGGGGAGAAAAATTGCACCTGGGTCTAAAAATGGTCATTTTTCTCATTGTTTCCGAATGTGCAAATTTTGGATAATTCTTAAATTCAGTCTTAAATAATTGTAGGGTTTTTTTTAAGAACGAAAGCAAATCTGCTCAAAAATTAAAACTGAATTTAAGAATTGTCCAAAATGTGCACATTCCAGAAATGCTAAGGAAAAAATAACTTTAAACCCTGGTGAAATTTTCCTTTCTAGCTGTTTGTTTGTGACCCTGGCAATTTTTCTCCTGTTCTTCTCCTGGTGTCTCAAGCGCCCATCTGCTTCCGGGAACTCACCCAAGTGCCCGTTATTTATTTATGAGCCATGACAGTGAGTGTTAGCGGGAATTCAACCACAAAGGCCAACACAGCTGAGCCCCATCCTATTCTCCCCTGCCTGTGACACACTTGCACTTTACAGCAGACATCTCTGCATATTGATCAGGAGCAGGAAACTTGCCTGCTTTCCCTGTCTCTAATCTAGGGTTTCTGAGGGCAACTGTAGCTCTTCATAGGCCTTCTCTGCTGGAGGGAAGCGAACTAGTCTCAGCCTGGGATTTGGATCTGAAACCCACGTGGTTTAATGCTGCAATGGAAGATGCCGTTATCCACTAAGCCATCAAGGAAGGATCATCACTATCTGATTCTTTACTTGGTGAAATGCACCCACTCAATGCTCAAAGAAAAACAGGCTTCAGTTCTGTACAGAGTATACAGATCTTTGTATTTGATGTAGTGCCTTTCACATCAGGAGGACCTTTCAAGGCTCTGCACAGGATTTACTGAAGTTTAGTGACTGTGTATTCATAGATGAATGAAGCAGCCAATTTGTGTACAGTGATGACCCACAAATTGTCATGAAATTAATTACTCATTTTATTTGGGGGATTGTTGGCCAGTACACCCGGAGAAACTCCGATCTTTTTCCAAATAGTGCGGTGGCGTCTTTAACGTTTATCTGAACAGTAGATGGGATGTTGGTTTAATATCTCATCCAAAGGATGGCGCCTCCAGCTATGCAGCGACCTCCAACACTGTATTGGAGTGTGAATTTAGAGTCCTGATGTGTGGTTTGAACTCAGAACTATCTGACTTGGAGGCGTGAGTGTTACCAACTGAGCCAGGGTAGTTCCTCCTTAGGCAAAGTTGTGCTTGTAGAAATGCAGGTGCCATGTGAGGGATGTTTACCATCGTTCTTTTCTGAAACTGATTCTCCAGGATGGCTGCGATTGACAAATGTCTCCACAGGGAGGGAAGGGAAAGAAGAATCATTCTAGCCTTCCAGGCTTTAAAGCTTGGGATCTTTTAAAGCTCTTTGCTCACCTTTGTTTAATTTGTGTTTCGGGACTTTTCCACATTGCTGCTTTTCCGTTACCTTTCACGAGGTGGCAGCATTGCTCTATATGAACTTCAATGCTTCTCAAGTGCTGTTGTTTCCAGTGCACTGTGACTGAACCTGTCCAAGGTCCAGCTGCCCAGACACTGTGCCAAGTCCAGCAGGTCTCTGGAGAACACATACTGATGACTTTGTCTAATTTACGGGACAGCTTGTTGGGACCAGGGTAGGGTTGCTATTATGGAAAGGATTAGATCAAATGGTATAAAGGACCATCTTCATTCAAACCTCTCTGGTGGTCTCCAATGGTATTTTGGCTTGAGAGATCATCTTCATGAGAGATCACAGGAGAGATGCAGTTAAAGAAGACCCTTCTGGCCATTTGATCTCATCCTTGAGTTCTAATGTCTGCTGACCAAAGCGTCGTGCTGCTTCTTAATCGAGTCTTCTGCCTTCAACCACTCTTCCTGCTGGGTTGCTCCAGTTGTTAATTAAGCTCTGTATAAAGAAGTGCTTCCTGGTGTCTGTCCTAAAATTGCTCTTCACAAACCTGAATTTGTGAATTATCTTCCTTCTTTCTTGGCCCTGCCTTAAAGTTTTGTTTCTGGTTTACTTTCTCAACCTCATTAAGCTTCCTATGTACCGGCTTTTCCTCCGGCCCCCGCACTGTCTCGTGCGGTGTCCCTCAGGGCTCTGTCCTCGGTCCCCTCCTCTTCACCCTCTATACGCTCCCCCTTGGTGATATCATCCGCAGACATGGGGTTAACTTCCACACGTATGCGGATGACACCCAACGCTACCTTTCCTCTTCTACCCTCAACTCCACGACCACCGATGTCCTGACAGCCTGTCTGTCTGACATCGAGTCCTGGATGAGAGACAACTTTCTTCAGCTCAACGTGCGCAAAACTGAGGCCCTCCTGATTGGCTCACGTCAGCGCCTCCGCACCTCAGGCGCTGACAGCATCAGCATCCAAGGCTGCACTCTCCACCTCTCAAAGCCATCAGGAACCTCGGGGTTCTGTTCGACCCTGAGCTGTCCTTTCTTCCCCACATCCGCGCCACAACTGGCACCGCCTTCCATCACCTCCGAAACATTGCCAGTCTGCGGCACTATCTCACCCTTCACGCTACTGAAACACTGATCCACGCCTTTATCACCTCAAGGCTGGACTACAGGAACTCTCTCCTCGTCGGCCTTCCTGGCACCTCCCTCCACGAGCTGCAGGTCATTCAGAACTCTGCAGCTCGTGTACTGTCCCGCACCAGGCTTCGGGACCACATCACTCCCACCCTCGCTCACCTCCACTGGCTTCCCATCCCCCTGAGGATCGAATTCAAGATCCTCATCCTCACCTACAAGGCCATTCACGGCCTTGCTCCCTCCTACCTCTCCGACCTACTATCCCCCCACGTACCTGCCCGTACCCTCCGTTCTTCTGGCTCCGGTCTGCTCCACATCCCCCGCCCCAACCGCCCTACCATCGTTAGCCGGGCTTTCAGTCTCTCAGCCCCTAGGCTCTGGAACTCCATGCCCCAGTGCCTTCGCCTTGCCTCCTCCCTTTCCTCCTTCAAGGCTAGTCTCAAGACCTTTCTCTTCAACCTCTCAGCTTCAAC